TACAAACGCATTTCCGTCTTGTCTTGTCAGTTCAGGACCATTGATTCATTCTTCTCGCACACGGCATGCAGTATTCATTTTAATAATAAAATATTGTGTGGTTGAAGTTTTGAGTAGTCCGATGAGTCCATTAAAACATTTGTTGTCACGTGGGAAAAATATTATGACCGCGACGATGGAAAATCAAAAAACAATCTCCCGCCAACGATAGAGCTGGACATTATCATCGGACGATAGGTGGTTGATTGATTCATTCATTCAAGAAAACAACCATTGCATATTTGAGGGAAGGACAACACCAAGACCGCTATACATACTGCTTTGGGGAACAGCAGTGAGGGGTCCAACAATCTTTGTCGAATAAGTCCGACTGCTGACGGGTGTGGAATTGACTATACACTGCATTACCATCGGTGATTCAAGGCACTTGTTTGCAACAAAAAGCGAGCATGGTGCAAATAAAACGAGTTCCGCGAACGCCACGACGACGATCACAGTCCAGCGCCATCTTTCGATACGTTCAATATGGCCTTGGCTTTTACTTTGTCTACCTTTGTCTGGCAACCCTCTTGTTTCGTGACGGTACTACAGAAGACGAAGAACCAGCACCAGTCTCCAAAAATACGAAGGATCTCAATACGAACTATCAACGAAATCTTGGAACCAGCAAAAGCAAGCAGCAGCAGCAGCAGCGAAACAACAAACCAATGGATATCCACCAAGTCTTGGAATCGAGCAAGAAAAATGTGGCGACATCGGTCAAGGCACGCCAATCCAATCATGCTGGTGAGAAGAAGAGAGAGGGACATGTAGATGTAATCTTGCACGAACCTCTCATTTCGGGAGAAGCCGCCTATCTCACTCCTTCCGAGGTGGACGAAAAGAAATTGGTCCATATCATCCATACGCGATTCATGCAATATCAGCCGGAATTGAAAATGTTGGGCATGGCCCGACTCAAACTCTTTGAAACCTTTTGTCTGCCGACCATGACCAATCAGCGGAATCAAGAATATTTGTGGATCATTCGGACCGATCCTGAACTGGATCAGGATGTCAAGGCAGGATTGCTAACACTCCTCAAAAATATCCAAAACGTCGTCGTGGTCGGCTCCAACGAAATCCGGAAGGGATCTGTGGATATGGGCTTTCGGAGTACCGACGCCATTAGTGACATTACTGAGGAATCTGTCTTTTTTGGAAATATGGAATTGGTGGAGGCATATTACGAGGCTGCCAAGACGAAGACCTTGTTGGAAACCAACCTAGATGCCGACGATGGACTTGCGACCAACTTTGTGAAACGATCCCAAGAAGTCATTATGCATTTGTTCCAGGTGAATGATGAGAAACAACGCCGGAAGCAACGACGACAGCAATCCTCTTGGTTGACTCTGTGTGCCGGTCGACATGCCGAATGGCAATTCTACGTGCCGTGGGATTTGCAGGATCAGCATGGATCGCTGAAGCATGGATCGACTCATGTTTGCATCACAGCAGGTTTGACCTGGGCCAGTCAATACAAGGCCGCTCCACGCTATACCGAATCGCACCATTTGATCAAGAAGGAAACACCGGCTTGTAAGGATGAATTTGAACAAGGCGACGATCCGACTTCCCCTACCTTTTTGGCACATGGTCTTCACGAAGACATGGGATGTTGGTTGCAGATCCCGACCTTGGAGCATACGGAACTTACGGCGATTCGGGCCCGGACACCAACCTCGACGGGGATGAGTCGGGTCACTACTGCGGCATCCAAATGGACCTTGGAAGACAAAACTACCAACGGGGCTTTGTGGGCCAAAGTCACGGTGGGAGGAACCTTTCGGATTCGAAACCATCAAGTGATCGAGACACACCAATACCTAGATGATAATCTTCCTGCCATTGTGGAAGATAATCTCAAGGGACAATGTCAAAAGGACCATTCATGTTCCGAAGGAATCAAGAAAAAGCTCAAAGGCATTCTCTACAAGGAGGATGCAACAAGAAGTGAGCATGGGATGATTCACATTGTTCAAACAGCTATCGAAACTCCCATCAGTGTGGATGTCTGGAGGCATTTGTGCTTGGAATCCATGGAGGTGCAGACGATTTACGATTTCTTGTGGATCATTCGAATCAAAGACTTTGATTCCAATCCGCTCATGTCCGATGCCGTGAATAAGGTACAAATGCTCAAGATTCTGGAGAAATCAGCCCTAAATATCATTGTTGTGAAATCAAATGGAACTCCTTCCATGGACTTTCGACAATTGGTAGCTACTGCGGACATTAACCCCGAATCTATCTTGTTTGGAAGCATGTTCACCGTCGAGAACTTTCACAAGGCCGCACAAAACGCGACACTTTTGGAAACAACCTTGGACCCAACCGAGGCTTTGTCCAAGACCTTCATCGAAGATATGCAAAAGGCGGCAGACGTCCAACAGGAATATGGTCAAGAAAACGCCAAATTTGCTTGGTATTATCGCTGCCAATCAAAGTTCATTGAATGGAACTATTTCCACCCGAGCGAAAATAATGAAGAGAAGATGGGATATGCTCGAGCTAACGATCAGTATTCGGATATGTGCGGCAATAACCCAGGGACGACTCGAATCAGTATGCCAGGAGCTCAAATTCCTTTCTTTGCCGACGTATCACAAGCACAAAAGTGTCAAAAGATGGTGGTTTTGAGAATTGAAAACGGCTGCTACGTCTCGTTGGAAAGCGAAGAACCGGTCGTTGCCCGAGTTGTCATTCCAGACTCCATTGACAAACCAGAACCAAGAAAATTGACCGAGAGCGAATTGGAGGAAATCGACGAAGTGGATGGTCATCTTAGCACCGTACTGAGGTACTCCTTCAACATCCTCCCTTATTCCATTGGTATCATTCACGAACATATCAAGGATATTCAGTGCGGTGGCGGCAATGTATGCAATAATAAATTGGACAGTGAATATGGAGTTGTACATGTTGTTCAAACTTGGATCCCCGGCCCTGATTATTTTGACATTTGGCGTCAATTTTGTTTCGCCATTGAGGCACAGACAACCAAAAAGTTCTTGTGGATCATTCGGATACCTACCGAGGCAGACAAGAACTTCATTCACCAAGTGGCGAAGCCATTGCATAAAACCCCACTTAATGTGATCATTGCCAAGTCGAGCAGAGCATCGGATACAAACTTTCGACATGGTGAAGCGATATCCGATATTAACAGTAAGAATCTCGTTGTGGGCGACCTGGAAACCTTACAGTATTTCCATAATACAGCGCAAGAGAAGCCGTTGATAGAAACAAAATTGGATGCAACAGTGGCATTGGCGAAGACCTTCGCTGAAGAAGTTCAAAACATTGTTGCACATCAAGTTCAGATGAAGCAGCTAGTTGACAAGGAGAATGCTTGGTACTACCAATGTGTTTCACAGTACATTGAATGGGATTACCACAATCCCCGTGGAGAGGAGATCCCAAATGGGTTCTTGAAGAACGTCGATGTTAGTATCAACAGTTGTCTTGAACATCCGGGTCGTACGAGAGTATCTATGCCATCGGCAAAAACATCACGTGGTTCATCGGGTACAGAGTGCACTGAAAAGAGGAAGGGTCTCGTCGACGGCTGTTTTGCCGTTGTATTGAAAAGGTTGAAGGGGGGATATCCACAGTATGCTGCTCGTGTCATGGTACCAAAGGTGATACATGGTGCCGTCAGGAAATCAGTTGACGACGCGGACATGGAAAAACTGAGGGCGGATAATGGTCTACTGAGAGGACACTTGAAGAACAACTTTGGAGTATATCCTGTCAACATGAAGAATATGAGGAAAAAGATTGAAGAGTATGGGGTAAAGAATCATGGCCTCAGGGGTGCTGGGCAACAGGAAGCATTGAGTAGTACTGATTCATGGAGCAATAGCCGCGGCATTGTCCACGTCGTGCACACTCGCCTGTTGCAGCGTCAGCCAACATTGTTGACGCTTGGTAAAGTTCGCCTGGATATATTCAAGACCCTTTGCCTTACTACGATGTCTCAACAAACAAACAAGCAATTCCTTTGGATCATACGGACAGATCCAGAATTAGACCCTTCCCTGAAGGAAAATCTCCTTCTAGCACTTGAAGGCATTACAAATGTTGTCGTAATTGCGTCGAGGGAGAATAGTGATGGAATCTACAACGGAGAGTTCCGTGAGCATCATGCAATGAGGGAATTCAATGTTGACTCAATTGTTCACGGAAACCTGACGCTTGTAGAGTCTTTCCATGAGGCTGCTAAGTCGCACATTTTGTTGGAAACCAATATTGATTCTGACGATGGCGTTGCATTGACGTTTGTGGAAAATCTTCAAGCAGTGACTCTTGAGTCCTTTGAGCGAGACAGCTTCAAGGTTGGCTGGGTGAACTTGTGTCTTGGTCGTCACTTGGAATGGCACTTCTACGCACCTTGGCAAAAGAAATCGGACAAGGGTTGTCTACTGTTGGGGTCAACTAGAAATTGCGTGAAATCTGGATTGAGTTGGGCGGTGAATGTCAAGGCAAAACCCAAGTTTATGACATCTACACACCTGATCAAGGAGAACAAAGAACAGTGCTCCTTGAATCGAACTGCTTCTGAACGTCTAATTCAAGAGTGCTGGGATGAAATACCACTTGGAGATCCTGAAAACGATGTAACTGCCATCCGCTCAATGACTCCTGCTTCTAATGGAATTGCTCGGGGTGAAGTGTCAAAGTTCGATTGGAACATTGATGCATTGAAGTATGACGGAGAAGCTTGGGATCTGCTTGAAGCTTACTTTGCTGTGAACACAGAGGATATCAAAGAATCTCGTGCACTGCTTGTTGACAACATGCATGAGGTGGTGATTGAGAATGATAGAAGTGCTTGCACGCACGAAAAGACCTGCGATGGGCACTGGAAAAACAAATTTCGTCTTGTGCATGTGATTCATGTTTCTGTCTTTGACCCGAACCTTGCGGATGTCTTCAGGCGAGTTTCGTTGTCTTCTCTGGTCGGACAGACTTCCAGTGAATTCTTGTTGATTGCCCGAACTGAAGATTTCACGGACCAACGATTGACTGATACACTCCTCAAGGGCATTCGAGACAGTGCCATCGTAGATCAAGTTCTCTTGGTCAGATCAAACCGCACACACCTTCTAGATTTCCGATCGGAAGAGGCTATATCTGACATTACGGAAGAAAACTTGCTTCATGGAAGCATGGCTGTTTTGAAGGACTACCACGATGCTGCTCAAAATCGAACGTTACTTGAAACTTATTTGCATTCCTTTGAGGGCTTTAAGCGCGATTATGTTGAAGAGCTGCAGAATGCAACAGCCACAAACATCATTCAAGATCGAATCCAAAGTGGTGCAGGTGGTTGGTATTATCAGTGTGTACCTGCATATGTTGAAAGGACATATTTCTCGCCCACTGGTGATGAGCAAAAAAATGGATATTACTCAGTTCTTGGCGATCCGGATAGTAAATGCATGAAGCGACCTGGCGTGACGCGGATCAGCAAAATTGGTTCTGATATTCCTACCGATACAAAAAGGTCATACGCCGAAGAATGCTCTCCAGAACATGACTTGGGCGACGGTTGTTTCCTCCCAAGCGTTTCTGAGATTGTTCCAGCTCTAAGAGTGTTGACTGATTTGGTCGCAAAGCCAACGCAACTTGAAGAAGACAAAATCCAAGAGCTCAACAAGCAGCAGTTTGGTATTTTGAGAGAGCTCCGAGCTGAATTCAGTGTTTTCCCTCCAACACTGAAAAATATGCGGAAAGAGGTGACTGAAAATGAGCGCCAAATTGTGCATGTCATCCACACGTCCTTGCATGATCCAGCAGAGATCAATATTTGGCGGCATTTCCTAGTTGACTCTCTTCAACTGCAGACTTCAAAGAACTTCCTTTACATTCTTCGGACGACAAACTTCACCAACCCAAAGGATATGTACAACTTGATGTACCCGCTGAGCACCAATCACGAAAAGGGTCACATTGAAGCCATTGTTGTGGACTCGAACTACAGTCCACTTGCAGATTTCCGAACTTCTGAGGCAATTGAAGACATGACCAATTCAACGCTTCTTCGTGGCGAAATGAATCAGCTCGTAGCCATTCACAAGGCGGCTGGTGCTCGCACAGTAGTCGAAACATTCCTCGGACCTGGCGAAGGTGTAGCAAGCTCCTTCGTTGCTGACCTGCAAGAGAGTGTATTGAGTCAGCTGAAACAGAATCAAATGCAAGGAGTGCAGCTGATACGCGATCATGATTACGGCACGCGCAAGAACTGGTACTACGACTGTAACTCCGAGTTTGTTGAATGGCACTATCACACTCCCCGTGCCGATGACAATAAAATTGGGTTCATGAAGCTCATCACTGCTGACCACGAGAGCAATTGTGTTGGCAAACCAGGAACCACAAGAGTAGTGCTACCAGGATCATCGGTTCCAGTTTCTTCTGAGAAGAAGATGTCATCCATGTGCCAAGCAGGTCAATTCATGGGCGGTTGTTTCATGCCCGGCAAAATGCATGACGAGACAAAGGTCGCCAAGGCGATTATTCCAGCTTCAACTCAAAACGCAGTTCCATTGCAAGCATCAGAAGCCGCAATCAAGAAGATGGAGACACAGGATAAAATGCTCGCGAAAATGCTTGGAGATTCCTTTAACATCAGTCCGTACTCCATCGAGATCATGAAGATGGCAATACATGAGCGAGAGTGTAGCACCGAAGGGATACAGTGCACTGGTCATTTGGATTCGCAGTATGGAGTTGTCCACATCATTCAGACATCTTTGCAAGATTCAGCTATGTTCGATGCATGGCGAAAGTGGTGCTTTGCTCTCGAGGCACAGACAACGCATAAGTTTCTGTATATTCTTCGTGTTGCTCCTGGTGATGAAAAGTTGATGAAGGCAGTTTTGAAGCCTGTCAACAAAACTCCGTTGAACCTCATCGTCGTGGAGTCAAGTTACACGCCTTCTGTGGATTTCAGACACCCAGATGCTGTGTCCGACATTACCGAGGCCACAGTGAGAAAGGGTAAACTCGATATGTTGCAGCATTATCAAAAGACTGCTAGAGAGAAGCCACTTCTTGAAACCTTCTTAGATATACGCGATGCTTTGACTCTCACCTTCGTCAATGATATACAAAAGTCAACACCTGAGATCATCAGAGAAAACAAATTGACAGATGGTCCCAGTGCCTGGTACTACCAATGCGTTCCAAAATATGTGGCATGGAACTATTTCACGCCCCGCGGAGATGAGTCGAAGGGTGGCTTTCTGAGGACGAAAACAAGGGAGGCGGGAGAGTGCTTCAGCCTACCAGGGTCGACGAGAATCAGTTTGCCCGAAGCAAAGATACCAACCGTTCCCGGAGGCTCAACAGAATGCGCGAAGGGGAAAATCGGAGATGGCTGCAGCTTGTCTATTGTGACCAAGAAGGTGCTGGCCGCAAGACTGTATTTACCTAAAGAAACCGCGCCACCGCCTGAAGAAGGATTGACGGAAGCCGATTTTGAGATGCTTGAAAAGGATAATAACAATCTTGCTAAGATTCTGAAGGAGGACTTCAACCTTCCTGCCATGAATCGCAATCAATTGCAAAAGAAGTTCAAGGAGATTCTCCTGGAGACTGTTTCTAAACAGTGAACAAAATATAGATGCCATTGTTTTATATATTTTTAACGTTGGTGAGCGATGCGCTTTTTGACGAAATTTGTTGTTACAGCTGCGACCACTTGTCCCTCCGAAATAGTAAACAAATATGGTATTGCTGTGAGCGATGCGCCTTCTGACGAAATTTGTTGTTACAGTTGCGACCACTTATCCCTCCGCATTAGTAAACAAATATGGTATTGCTGTGTGATGAGAAAAGATCCGTTGTGTCTGCGAATCATCTGCTTCTTCTTGTTGGAAAGCATATCTGGCAGTTTGAATTTTGCGATTGACGAATTTTAAAATTTTAACTCGGATCTCAATTTGTAATGGGGGAAACAGAGAGAGGGAGAAAAATCACCTACATATTATTTTATCGTCGCTCATCGAGTGTCGTCGTCACACTTTTAGTATTTTCTCTCTCATCGCAAAGAATCTAAAACAGGAAATGAATAACGTTGACGACCACCTCGCCAGTACTCACGAAACGACACCTCTTCAAGGAACATTCGTAGCTTCACTGAAAGAGAAGATACGGTCTTCCATCGGCATGGACTCGCGTGAACAAGACAATAATGACGTCAACAAGTCCAACAACAAAAACCGGTTGAACAATAACAGTGTGGTGATTGATGCTCTGGAATCGTTATTGCACGAAAAGATTTCAGAATCACAGCTTCAATCGAACGATCACTCAGGAATCACGACCATGTATCATTGCAAACAATTGGAATCGTGGGATTGTGGTAAGCGCCCATCGGTTTCAAAGTCTGTGACCATTATATTGCTCTCATCACTTATTTGCTCGGGGGTTTTGTCTTTTTTAGGTATCGCCTGCCTGCTAATGGTCAATAGATGGTTATCGACACAGAACAAAGAATATTCTTCGAAGATGGTTCCCGAGGATGAAAAGCTTCGTGAAACCCTCATTGGGAACATTGGCGCGAAATCCATATGGACAGCTGATTTGGTGTTGGAGCTCCACAAGCTATTGGGACAGGGATCATCAGCGGACTACATATTTTGCTCCAAGAACATGGGAGTTGATGAGTCTTATAAGGACTTTGGATACTATCGCGATAACTTTGCAAGAGATCAGGAACGAGTGAATGATGCATTTGTCGAGCTTCAAACATGTAGTACATCCTGTTTTTCAACCTCGCATTTGCCCTTGCCTCTGGTAATGAATGCAGTCTCTCATCCGAACTGCATTGCGATTGCGTTGGTGGACAATACCAAACTTCATGGCTTTGACTGGAGTGAATATCTTGGTCACTACGTCATCATCTGTGGATGCAGCTCGGATCCAAGTCACCTTGATCTCACGACCAACGTTCAAAACGAGGATCGGTGTCTAGTTTTGAAGAATGTAAGACTCATTGCTGAGTGCTATAGTTTGATTTCTGGAACAATTGCTAACATGACGTCCTACTACGATGAAACAGACAGGGCGTGACGACGATCCGACCATGTATGTTTTACCATCACGCTTTGAGCGGTCGTGGAGAGCAAGCGGTACGGACGATGATATTGTATTTGTGATTCGACAATGATGTTATTATTCGCTATCGAAGATAGCCAACTGGCGCCTGCCGCCTGGTTTCTTCCGTGAGGGATTCTTTCTTGGTGTGACTCTGGTGGGTTGTGGTGTGAAGCTGGTCTTTTGGATTGCGCGCGAACCGTTCCTTCCTTGAGCCCAGATAGTTCACGACCACAAAGCAGACAATCTCTCCTGTCATCGGGTTTGCAAACTCCTCCTGTGTTGAGTGAGCATTCACCGTACGCTCCATCTTCCATAGCTGCGACGCGTAACGACTTGTGGATGTTTGGTTCCAGGTCATCAATCTTGGTGGGGTCAGTGGTTGTGACTGGATAATACAAGTCAGCAGTGATCTTTCCGCCCTTGGGCTTTTTGCAGTAGAAGTACGCGAATTCACCATTGTCGCCATATCCAAGCACTTCTCCATGTTCCTCAGCGCGGACTGTTTCCATAGTTACATCATTGCGTTTGCCGGATCTTTTTTGGTGCAGAGCACGCATCTTTTCAGCATGTTCTCGGCTGAGATGGCGGCTGTGGTGAGCCCCCGATCTTCGGTTGCCATCCTTGTGGCACACGGTGTACCCATCTTCATCAACAATCCAACTGTTGATGTCACCACCCTTCAATTGACACTCACCCAAAGGCTCACTATTCTGATCATAAAGATCGAAAGGGGTGGGGTCTGCCATGTGGCCAGAAGTGTAGAAGAAGCAGAAGCTTCCAACGAGCAAGCTCAATGCAAGAGGTGATAGCTTCATCTTTCGATAGTGGTGTCAATTGTCAGGAATATCAGATTGTGATATCTGAAAATAGAAGATCTTAAAAAACGAAGATTTGACAACTTTTGATCAGTTTGTAGCAGTTCCTATTGTGGTTGTACGACAATGGATTTATTTATTGCTATGCAATAATAATAATTCAGTTTGTGAAATTATCCAGTGTCCAGTGTATCTAGATTCGTTTGCAGTAGGTTGCGATAATTATTCTACAGGAGAAAAAAGGAAGTGCGTCAGACCCAAGCAGTGTTTTTCTGTCCAAAGAAAAGATCCAGAGCATACAGTACAACACTGTGCTGTACGTCGGCCGAAAAGATCCAGTGTATTTATTACAAGACGAAAGCAGATCAAAAAGGGCACGCACGCCCAGTAATTTTGAGAACAAACAAGCGCCAGTCGGCCAATGTGGATCAAACATTAAAGACTATGCTATCCCCATCATTCTGTCCGAACGACATCCTCGAAAAGCTGACTCGGCGCGACTTGGTCCAGTTACAGGCCGCTCCTGAACTTGTACAAGAGTCGAATTGTCGACCAACCCGATCGGATACCGCAACCAATAACTCACAGTTAACATGCCAATGCCACACTCTTTATTCATTCATCATTACCTTTCATCATTACTCCTTCCACGGCAGGAAATTCAGCATGGTCAAACGACGACAATCAATATCAACAAGAATAATAATATCATTTGTCGGATTTTATCTGGTGACTTGCATTTGGTCTTTCGCCAAGCTGTCCAAGGATGGGGATTCAAATTCGTGTCATCATAACAACGATCCTACACAATCACTCACCGGGCAACCTCATCGGGATTGGTTGCAAAGAAGGAGGTCTTTGCAAGACCAAAAGACAACCAAATCCTACAATTTCACAGCGGCTCTTTGTGTCTGTGTCAAGGACGCAGAGGCCTATTTTGAAGAATTCATTGACTATCATTTGGCTATGGGGTTTTCCAATGTTTATTTGTATGACGATTCGCCCAATTTCGAATTGCAACGATGGTACAATCATACTCGAGCACATCCTGATTATAGCAAAGTGGAAGTTTTGCACTTGTCGGATGCACGGAACCCAAAAGGTAGTAGCAGTTCCTCAAACGAAGAAGAGAGCAATGACGACGATGACAACCAACAATCTCAGAACAATCAACAGCAACAACAAATGCTACCGGTTGATCCACAAACGGACTATTACGAAGATTGTGTTCATCGATTTGGATTCAACGGGCCAAAACATGACTACTTTGCCTTTATTGATGTCGATGAATTCTTTGTCTTTGTCGATGAATCCAACTATCACAACATTTTGGATTTGCTGCAAGACTATCTGGTTCCATTTGGCGGGGCATTGACAGTCAATTGGATGCTAGTGGGAAGTGCCAACAAATCGGTCTATGCTCCACTTCCAATCACCAAACGATTTCAGTACAGAGACGAAAAGGCACATTTCGTAATCAAGAGCATCGTCAAGACAAGTGATTACTTGGGGCACCGAAATCCGCATGCCGTGTATGTGAGAGATGTTGTCGTCAACGGCACCAATACCAGCAATATTCATACAACCGCCTATCCAGGAGCGAATCACAAGTATGCTTTGACGCCGAGAGGTGCTACCGACAAGACTTGCCCCTCGAAAGTGGTTTTGCTGTATCACTATCGGTATACCAGTGACAAGGAATACATATTCAAAAGATGTACTCGAGGAGGGACTGATGGCGGCCATTATTGGTGTTCCGATGGTGGCCAGGGGATCCGGCAAGGCTATGGACCACAGCACATTCAATCAATCCCGGGGAGTGTCTTTGATGATAAAGCGTGGAAGTTTCTGACTTCCCATGTTCCAAAGTACCAGATGTATGATTCGTTTGAAGACTTTCATTAGCATCATAGTATAGGTAGTGGCTACATGACTACTTATCTATGTACCCACGAGATATAAAGTATAGATAGATTTTAATAATGTGAAGTAGAGCTCAAAGCTGGAATAATACCGTTTTAAATTCTTGGAGGACGAGAAATGATATCCAAATTTGAAATTTGTACTGTGATTCAATACGAAACTACCTATCGAAGATAGCCAACTGGCGCCTGCCACCTGGTTTCTTCCGTGAGGGATTCTTTCTTGGTGTGACTCTGGTGGGTTGTGGTGTGAAGCTGGTCGTTTGGATTGAGCGCAAAGCGTGCGGTTCCAAAAGGCCAGTCTTTGATATTCCGCAAAGCGGAATATCAAAGACTTGCTTGCCTACTAGGCCTTACTACAGAGACGTAGAATGCGTCGATGTAAGGCCCAACAGGGATGTGGAGGGAGGGAAAGAAAGAAATAAACCTTATTTCTTGACGTATACTCGCACACAAGTTCGATAAACTGATCGGACTTGGTGTTGCTGAGCAATGCTGTTGTGACAGTCGTTCGACCGTCGTCAGTATGATGAAAGGAATCCAATGATTCGTTCTTGAGCTTTTGTCTACGTTAGATTATAGACCCCAATGGCGATGAATTAACTAGGACATAGGATGACGAAATGATGATCCCGACCAAAAAAGTGTTTCGTGCGAGATTGTCTGCGCAATGGAATGCTTCTTCGGCAAGCTCATCTGGCCTGCACACAATAGCCGGGATGACCAAGGCGAAGTTCTGAAGCGTGATTCATTCGTACAATGACGGTTGACACAATCTTGCACTCGCATTTCAGTACAAGCTGCAGCAACTGATTCTTTAGCAAATGGAGGGACTTCCTTCCTTGACCTGCTCGTCCTTTTTCACTGGAAGAATCTTGTGAGAGTAGTCGACGACTCTATTACTAATCGTCTTTGTTCTCCTGCTTCCTTCCAAGTGACCAGCGTGATCAGAGTTGCTCCAATCATCGCCATTACTCCAAACCCTGCAATCATCGAGTCTAGCTTTTTGTTGGCATTTGGAACCAATTTTGAATGGATCAGCGGTGGAAAGACAAAGGCTAGCGGACATCCCAAGAGACTACCCATGAGAGAAACCACCTTGCCCAGATTGTCCTTTTCCATTTGGGCAATAAAGGCCAGGAGAACAATCACGACCGCAACCACCAGACGGCGCCTGTTGGAGTCCAATTGCACCACAATATCCGTGTCCCCCTGCAAGTGTGTTTCGTAGGTTTGGACAATAATTTCCAAGGCTGGAAATATTTGAAGTGGAAAGGTAAAGACGACCGCCACACTGTAGGCCAGTTGCACCATGGTGGCCAAGATTCCTTCTGGCAAGGAGGTTGTGAGTACGGTAGAAACATCATCCCCAAAAGCACTCCAGCACAAATATCCAAAGACAGTATAGAACAAGACAATGGAGGTAATCGTTTGGTTGTAAAGAACGGGAAACCGAGTCGCGGCATCGGGAACTTCCAACGCTTCTTGTAGAGGAAGACAGAGCGTGATGGAACCCTCAAACAGTAGCACCTGAAAGAGAATACATATACAATGCCATGAGCAGAATGAATAAGGATTAGCCTAACATGGCCGATGCATGCATTCCACCTCAATATCAAAATGAATTTCAGTTTCAGTATCAGTTTCAGTTTCAACGTACACTTGTCCCAATAAACAAGTACCAATGATCATTCCACGGACTCAAATGCCGAATGGCCGGAACGGTGTATTCCTGTTCCCACATGTCGTCGTCATAATTTTCGTTTTCCGCTCCTTCCCCATTATTATTGTTATTATTATTATAAGAATTGACGGCATCGGCCGCCCCTTGCACCATGCTGTATTCCGCCGTATAATATTCGGTCGCCAAAAAGAGACAGGCCGCCAATCCAAATCCAATGAGACAGGTCGCAATTACATTGGTAGTGACCAATTTGGAAACGTTGCGGATCGATGACAATGGAATTTCAATCACCACCATACCGACGAGACAAATCCAAAAGGGGATTTCGAGCTTGGTCATTTTGTGAATGGAGGTCGATAGATTGTGCGGCACAAAAATGACTATGAAAAAGGTAGAAGAGCATGATAGGCATGTATGAATGGTGAGACACAGAGAAACAAAGGTATACAGGACCACCACACATCAAACCCGCATATAACATTCTCCTTCATATATACTCATACTAATCAATGCACGTACAAATGCAAATACAACCACAATCAAATCACACTTACAATAGGTCAAACATACTCCAAGCTGCATCAATGTAATTCCAGTCCGGACAATGCTTTCTCCTAGATCCCCATAGGCCATTCGTGCCAGCTTTGAATAGGAAATACTCGTCGTTTTGTCTGTTGCCGGCGATGACTCCACGTCGTATATCGTAACCTCTTTGTCATTGCTGCTGCTGTTTTCGCTACAAACTGAATCAGCGGCGGAAAGTTGCTTATTAGTATTCCGTCGTTTGGTAATGGTGGGGTGGTGTTGGGAAGAAGAGGAAGCAACAGCAACAGCAGCAGTATTTGTAGGGGAAGTCTGACCTACTCCTCCTTTGGCCGTCAGGTTTGTCATTTCAAATTCCATGTACGAATTGTAACCATCCTCTTGTTGTTGTTGTTGTTGTTGTTGCTGTGAATCTCCTCCCGAAGAGGAGGATGGAGAAACAGCCTCTGGTTGTTTCCGCCGTCCTGGTTGCGATTGCACGACATACTTCCATGTGGTCAGCAGACGATTGGCCGTGAAGAGGTACAATGCCGTACAGACCCAGAGTGCAATAATGGCAAAGGCATAACCTGCATCGGCAAAGGAATGCGGCAAATACAAAATGGCAGGACCCACCATGGCCTTGATGATTCCAAAGACGGCAGCCGTGGTGGTACCGCCTGAAACTTCATGATGATGATCAACATTATTGCTTTGGTGGTGGTTGCTGTTGCCTAGCAATGGAGCTTCGTTGACAGCATTAGTTTGCGGAGGAGAATATTTCGATTTGTCTTCTTTGCTCCCAGTCAATTCCAGGGTTGGTCGCATCGTGTCGGTGAAGGATACTGCACGATACTGTAGGTGCGGTGTTGAATAAAAACAGTGATGATGCGAAGATGAGAGATTATTGATTCCGCAAAGATGGAATTCCGATGCCAACTTTGGGAGAACCAACCCGGATATCAATTGATTCATTCGACTACTTTCATGGATCGTTCAAAATGAGTATTGAATATTATAGTCCTCTAGACACTTATTTTATATATACTGTGCTACCCATCCCAATACAACCATAACCTATCATTCCATCGATATGATCCTGCAAATCAACAGTGATGATTCATAGCTCACTGAAGCCAAAGCCTAGAGTCGTGTTGGTAGTCATTTCTGTCTTGGATGCGGTGCCTGCCAGATTTTATCCCAGATTGCGCCCTCAATAATGATCCTGTCCTTGCCATTGCCAAGATCTTCTGCAACGTTGTATCCTGCGCCATTGAAGCTGAGGTAGACTACCTGTTCTACAATTGCAAAGGAGCTGCTCCCCTACGCCAGATGTTTCATTGGGACGGGCCAACCAAACCTTCAACTTGGCCACACCAGTTCAAGTCGACAACTCTACAGCGCCATGGCCATTTCGAATCAAAGTTCTAAACAAGTGCAGTCAAAAGAAAAGCCTTTGACATGTGTCGTTATTGCGTCCAAGATCGTGCCAAGCAAGGCCGATATCACAGCTATTGGGCGCCTAATCGAACAATGCTAGGCGATGGATCTTTGGCAAATGTCTAGGGTGTAATAAGCTGATGGACATTTGTTTTGGTTCCGCAAAATAAGCAATGGGGTAACAGCGTGCTACACAACTATTGGCACTATGGTTATTGCCCTATTCAACCAAAGTTATCTGCGACAAGGTGCCGAGGGAAGGTCAGTGCTCCAAAACTGAATGAAGAGAACGCCATGAGCAAAATATCACTGCGCTGGACCCATGGGCTGGAACTCTTTATCGCAATATTATCGTCTGGTAACCCTCTTGAGATTCCCTCGACACCTTGTCCACGATCGCTTTGGAAAAACGAGCAGTTTCAAGATCTGCAAGTCCTACCACCGTAGAAGCCGTGTTGTGGGAGAACCGCAAAGCCGAAGATGACTCTGCAGATGGCTGGTCAAGGCCAACTAGCAACAACATGCATACTCCAGTCTCAATGCCTGCGGCTTCGAAGATTTTTTCCATTGCCTCGATTGCACTTTCACGTTGCTTCGGACGGTATGTCAATCGATTTTTCACGCTTACCAACATGGGACAGTAGTGCAAAGTCCCGTCCAAAGTGTACTGCAATGGTACCACCATGTCGTACGCTTGGCAAGAAGCCTGCGCATACGATGCTCGTCCACCAAGATACCAATGCCTGAGAAGCCCGCTATCCTGAATTTCTTTCAAACTGTGAAGTAGATGATGCCGACAGACTTGGATGAAATTGACACTTGCCTTTTCTTCCCCACTGTTGAAAGCAGTTTCACAATCAGCACCTTGGCTTTGTTGCAATCTTCCAATCCATTTCTCTAGTGGAACAGACAGCTGAGTGAGACCTGGCGATTGTTCGTACCTCAACTCGTCTACGCATGCCAGCATGTAAAAGGCAGCTGCAACCTCGCCGACATCGCCCTTTTGAGGACGACACAACGCAGAAGAGTAAATCTTGATGGCCTTCTCGGACCAAACTGATGCGTGCTCGCCACACCTCGTGTGGATCCAATCGTCCCTCCCAAAGATATTACAGCCCTCAATCATCTGTGTCATTGCTAGCATGCGCAAACCGGATCAGGAAGAAATGCAATCTCGGCCACTGCGGCCTGCTCCGGCGAAAAGTATGTCAAATGGGCGTATCCCGAAGCCACTAGTTCTGATGCGAAATCAGACGACACTTGACCCCTTTGCAGCCGCGTCGCCAAGAGCGAATAATACTTCTGTAATGACAGCTTTTTGTCCTCGCCCCTCATTCGCAACAAGATATTGCCGAGTGCATCCTTCAACTCTCGCCTTAGATGCATCCGTCCGAACAGGGCGCGTCCGTATTGAGTGGCAACATCAAACTCCGTAATTATCTCATTTCCGTTGTCACGGAGTTCACCTGCATTTCCAAACTTGGTTCCATCGGTGCGTGAAACAAGACCTGTCGTCGTAATCTGGTAGCATGGAGGATAAAGCTTGGTTCCTCCAACGTACTTTGCGTTTGCACTTCTGGAGGTAGTCGATGGTTTTGGTTCCGAATAGTAGTTTGCTAATCTGGTCGTCGTCCCCGCAAACACGCCAACCACGCTGGAATCGCTGGGCCTATTGGACAATCGAAGCCACCACCGAATGCAGCGGAAATGCCATCCGTCATCCCTCTTTGTCAGGTGCTGGGAATCGTCAAAGAGAAATACAATTTTTTGGGGGTTTATTCGGAGTAAAGGTGTTCAATTTGTGAACAAGTTCGTCTCGACCTGGACCATCCACTGATATTTTGCTTATATCCAAAGTCCTGGAAAACATACTCGAGCCGCCTTCAGCCATCATTTCTACAGCGCTCCCGTCATGGCAGAGAATGAGTCCAACATGGATACCGTCGGTCTTGTCCATCATCTTTTTGTATTCGTGCATCAACTTGGTCTTGCCAGTGCCACTAGATTGTACTAGTGGAAAGTACGGAGCCATATACTCTTTTGAATCAATGATTTCCCAATCAAAAAGTTTGTCCACTCGAGCCGCGAATGCGTTCAAGTCTCGTTTGTATATTTGTATAACATGTGGCTGTCTTTGATGTCGTAGTCAATGCCTGCCACCCGCTTTGATTGATATGGTGCATCATTCAAGAATCTAGCCAAGTCGATCTTAAGATATTTTTGAGTCGCTTTGACAAAATCTTCATTTTCTTTCAAACCCTCGATCAGTAGAGAGGTAGATAACCTCTTCTGCTTGTCAGTAATGTCATCCTTGAACCATTCGTCCTCATTGGTGATGTAGTCTCCAAGTGTTTTGTCATCATAAGGTGGAATACTGTCCGTTGTCTCTTGACTGCTCCGACCACTGCTAGTGCTTATCGTGTCATCATCCTTCGAATCGGTACGTTTGATTGGTTTCCGATTGCCTTCGTAATAGTTTTTGTTGTTTGTGTCATCATCATTTCGTAGCGTAGCGAGGCCATCGTCTGCGGTGCTATCATCCTCATTCTGAGCATTCTGAGGAGCTGGCATGTGCCGTTGTATGATTGGTTTCACGTCGGTAACAGCGACTTCGCCGACGGCCGTCAAGGGCGCTTTGTCAAACGAGGTTGGTCGAATGGACAATACTTTGCGTTTGGTAGGATCCTCAATAGGTACCTTTTCCAAGACGTTGTCGGCATGCTTGAAACGAACAAAGGTGTCTACACAGCAAGAAGTGTAAGGCATACTGCTGTGCACAAATCAATATCCTTGCCAAGTTCACAAAAACTGCATGATAGTACGCTTACTGTCATCCAGAATTTCAAGAATGTCGGTGATTGGACTGACACCGAGCAACGCAGCTGCTCTAGGAATGACCGTGGATGAAAACTTGGTGGATGTTCCCAAAACGACACTGCAGTCATTGACGGACGCCACACTCTCTATCGCCAATGCCACACTCTCGGCCAATGTGGCTTCGAGTGGCACGTGATACACCTTGCTGACACCCTCAACTACTAGCAATTCAATGTTTTGTCCAAAATACTGAGCAGCAGTGACGGCACTTGGGTTTGACCGGAACTGACGCTGCCTTTCAAGGGCTCGGACAGAACCAAGGTGGAAGTCCAGCATCTAATTGAAGAACAAAAAGCAGTCTTGGTGGCAATTCGGGATACATACTGTTTGTGGTTGCATGTGTTTGCGTGAGTGTGTGAGGAGACTTTTGCTCGCTTTTTTAAATTGACAAAGAACAGAGCTGAAGCGGCTTTATCTTTGTGCAGTTACCGGGCTCTTCATCTTTGGTAGTTTTGGTTGGAAGATGCGGTATATCTCATCTCCATGTATATCCTTCCGTGTCTGCAGTTTATGTATTTATTGCATCATCTTCACATCACATCGCAACCGCTTTCGGTCATATTTTCGTTCCGTTCGTTTCGCTCGGACGACTGGTAGACCGGTCTGACTGATGTACGTGGGCATATTTCAATTTCGTGTTGGTCGAATGGGTCGGTTGAAGGATGTTGAAACCTTCGCTTCGTTCATCGCATGCTCATCGCAGTTTACAAGCTGTAACCGCAAGTCCAATCAATCAGTTTATCGATCTGTGTGCGAGTATATTGAAGATGAAAAGATGAAATAATAATAAGGTCAATATTTCTACGCGCATAAAATATATCTGACTGAGAGCCATTTATTTTCAGCTATACAATATATCACCATCACCATCACCATCACCATATTTTATACAATAATATATTAATATTAGCTACAAACAGCACCCATGTCCGCTTCTCCGGTCCGATGGGCAGCACCTCGAAGAATTGTCAATCGCCTGACAAAGCGTTTTACCAGGGACCTACTGCAAATGGTGGAGAACAACAATACGTCGCCTCACGACGTGCTGTCCCGATTTCCAACCTCCGCTCGCTTGACCGTGAAACAATCGACCAATCGGTTCTTCATGTACGAAGAACACGCACCCAACAAGATTCAAGACGACGATCCAATGACACCTACCATTACCACGACGCCAATGGAGCTTGCCGATTTGCTAGCCAACAAGGATGATGCTGATGATGATGACGATGCTGACTATCATTACTATTGGACCAGCCCCATTTCATCCGTGGCTCCAACCCTTCTCCAAGACGAATTTCATTGGTACCAACAGCTCCATCATCACGATGAAAATGGTGATGACACTACACTGGATCCTTCCATTCATCAACGATTGGATCCACGCGGACCTTCCTTGTGGATGGGAACCTTTGGGTCGGGGACCCAGTGCCACTACGATGTCGCCAACAATGTCATTTTGCAGCTCCACGGAACGAAACGAATTCGCTGCTTTCCTCCGCATGTGGGTGTCACGCATTTGCATGTATTTCCAGATGCCCATCCGAGGGCCCGCAAGTCTCAAGTCAAGTTCGAGACTGATGATCATGATCATGATCATGATCAAAGCCACAATAAGGAGGTGGCCAAGAACCAGCAACAACATTATCCTCATTTTGACCAAAAGAATCCGCCCCAACCATTCTTGGACATTACCTTGCACCCTGGAGACGCCCTAGAGATTCCAGCCTTTTGGTTCCATCATGTGGAAAATGGAATCACTTCTACTACTACTACTACCACTATACGTCGTCCTCATCGAAACGAAGAACAAGAACCATCGGTGTCTCTCAATAGCTTTGTACTGTCGGAACCCATGATGATTGCACAACAAATATTTCAAAAGGCGAGTCAACCCATGATGCGGTACAATGTAAGTTGTACAACCGAACAAGTCCCGGGAGTCTTGCGTGGACTTGGAGTGGCACTGGTTCAGAGTTTGGGACTACTACCACCATGCAATGATGAGAATGACGACGAAGCAGCCGCCGTGGCCTATATCCAACGAAACTTGCTGGACGCTAGGTACGCACCGCTAATGGTGTCATGGACGACGAACGAAGAGTCGAATGGTGCCAGTGGTACAAATACAAATATTCGTGTACCAATCACGGACGAGCAACAACTGGCCATAGAAACCTGTATCAAGAGTATACGTTCTGACTTCGAAGATCTCGTCATGAAGGAGGAGGATAGGATTGATGACAACAACAACGACAATGAAGTGTTGGTTGATAGAAATGGCATTGTCGTCTTGGTCGCCTTGCACTTGTTGGAACTTTGGGCGGTGCAAATGGTGGGAGCGTCTTCTGTCTACGATGCATGGAAGAAAGCACTACTATAGACTAGGTGCTGCTATCTCTTTTTATTTCGTGGATTATTGGGCAATACTATTGAAGTCAAGAAAACTGCCAAACAGCACCTAACAAGTCCTCCTGGAAGCACTCACTCATTAGACAAGGTAGACCCAATGGCATGGAGCGAATGGGAACCTTTTTCGGATGAAATTGTGAAGACCACGATCGAATGATGAATGAATTTTAAAATCATGATGAGAAGAAGGCAATTGGAGACAAAGCATCACCTACAGAAGTTATTGCAAAAGTACTGTTCTTTGTGACACAAGTCAGAAATTTTATTGGTTCGCTGAATTGGAAATGAAACAGAAGGAGTAAGGTAGTGGTAGTAGTAGACCGGTTGTATTGAAAAGCAAGGAAACGCAACATACTATTAGACTCATTCGACTAAACTAAATCGTGTGATATATGATATGGTGTATAATACATCATGACCATCATCATCGTGGAGGAATGATGATGCCAGCTTCATCAAGGTTACTGGTTTTAGTAGCTGCTCTGAATTATCAAGGGACCATTGGCTGGTGCGAGGTTCTCTTCTAACGTGATATGCAGACCCGCCAATACTAATGATAATCCCGATCGATTGTTCTTGTCAGCACTAAAAAACAACAATGACTTCCATACTTCACCAACCACTACGATTGCAGCGAAAAACACACTAACAACAGAGCAAACGGAAAAGCTTCTAGCTGCACAATCATTTATACCTGACTCGTCCACAGGGACAGTTTTTAAAGGAGAAAAAATTCGTGATTTCTCACATCCAAAGGCGTCGCTACAAAAGACAATAAGTCATGCAATAAGTGATCCGTTGCCGTTTGAGAATGACTTTAAAGACAAATGTACCAAGTGTGGTGTGGTGACTACCATCTTTGATCCTACAGAAGCTATTTCGAGAGTCTCAAACTTGCCTGAATGGTGTTTGGTGGTGGTAGCAGATACCAAAACACCTGATGATTACATGGAAAAGTTCAAGACATTGGGTGGTTCAGAAGGATCCACATTTTTCTTTTCGGTGGAACGCCAAAAGAAATGGGAGCGACTTGATGGACCTATCGGTGCCTTTGTTAGAGTAATGCCCTGGAGGCACTTTGGCCGAAAGAATTTGGGGTATTTGTTTGCGATACTTCATGGGGCAGATTTCTTTTTTGATTTTGACGACGACAATTATATCAAAGTGGACGAGTCAACAGGCAAGCCCGTTGAAATCCTTCCATCAACGACAGTACTCGATAATGTGATGGTGGCAATGTCGGGGCCAACAGCTTTCAATCATCATCCAATGATGAAGCCATCGATCCCGGCTCCATCTTGGGCTCGTGGTTTTCCTTGGGAATACATAAAGGACGAAGCAACGGAAGGGGAGCCAGCCTTTAGCCAGTCGATACCATTTGTTTCCAAATTGAACTCCATCGGAGTGATCCAGTTATTGGCCGATGGAAATCCTGATGTTGATGCCACCCATCGATTGATGAATGACATTCGACAACAGTGAAGGTGCAACAAACGTCCTTGTTCCAAAGCACGCGTATAGCCCATACAATGCTCAAGCTTCAATTCATACACAACCTGCCCTTTGGGCAACGTTACTTCCTACAACCGTCCCGGGTCGTGTTTCGGATATTTGGAGATCGTATTTTGCTCAGTGCATTTTTGCTGACTCGAACCTTCGACTGGTCTTCTCACCTCCAAAGATTGAACAAATACGAAACGACCACGACATTCTGGCTGACTTTGCGGCTGAAAACGACCTTTACACGAAAAGTGGAAAGTTGATTGATTTCCTATCTAGTTGGGACTCTGAACATCTCCATTTTCCCCAGCGAGTGGAACAGCTATGGATTGATTTATACGAAAGATCATACATTGAATTGGATGATGTCGTGGCGTTGCAAAAGTGGCTGGAGGCATTGATCACAATGGGATACAAGTTTCCCGAGTTGAAGCCTAGATTCCGTAACGTCGCACTGATGGGTCAGTTCAATTTTGCAGACTTTCCCAACAGCATGACTCAAATCATGATGTGGAGTCAGAAGATGAGAGAGCGCTTTCAAACAACCATTGCTGCAGCTCCACTCAACAAAACCCAATTGGCGTACTTAGAGACACATCGTATAGACGCCATACCAGCCAGGGATTTGAAACTGAGAAAAAGGGATCACCTAGGTTTCTACAACCCGCTTAGCAACTTGATGAGGACTTTGCTGCGCTTTGAAAACTCGTCGACGATTGAGGCTGTGCTTTATGCCCATGATGACGCCCTGCTGAACCTAACCGAGCTATCAGAAGGAAAGTATCCTTTCCCGACCGACAAGATCGCCAATCGAATAAAGGGCGAGCTTAGTAATGCCGCATTTGTTGATCTAAGGACCATGCCTGATAGAGCAAAAGCAAGGACACTTTCCCATCGCGTTTTCCCCAATGGCACAATAAGTGATATCGACAAGACGATTTTTGTGAACACATCAAGCGAGTTAAAGAAGCAAATCCCAAGTCTCCACGCAAAGTACAAACAATGGGGGCATTACTACTGCGCGCCAGGACAGCAGCAAATGGCGATGGACCCTGAATTTGCAATGTACCTTGACCCAGATGGTTCAGCATGGTTCCCATTTCACACACAATCTGATTTTCTCATCGTACCAACAAAATATGCCAAACCGTTCACAGAAGCGGCAACCATGCACCTGAAACATTTTATTTGGATTGAGTGTGCTTTCGGGAAGATCGTGGATATTCTTCAGCAGCAGCTGCAAGCACCTACCCGACTGGTGAAACTCTGCACTGGCTTTGGAGATAGACGGGGCAGATGGGATGTGATTAACAATCACGACTGCCAGTCTGAGAGCGTGGCCGTGTTTCACCCATTCAAAATTAGAGGTCGATTTGACGAGTTTTGGGCGCATGCCGACGAAATCAATTTCCCTGCTTACAGTAGCCGGGGTAAAAATTGAACAAGGATACTTTTAGTGATGCAATTCTAGTGGTCGTGATATTGGAGTCCCTGCACACAAAACAAGCGCAGATGGGCACAAGGTGATATCAATGGCTCGTCCGGGCAAGAAATGTTTGGATCCGCTCCTCGACCACATTGATACACCTCGGACCGTCATCTTGCATAGACGGATACAGACTCTTCCACTCCATGCCAGCTCACCCGCTTATGGAATCGATGATATCCCATATTCGGCACCTATAATCAATTGGACAACTGACCGTGCAAGAATGGAAAAAATGTGAAATCGTGAAAGCAGTTTGGTTCAATTAACCACTTGCGCCTACCTTAGTTCATAAAGAGAGACAGCTACTGTAGGAGCTAGTGCGTTGTATTAGCTCCATTCTTTGCTATTGTTTGATGTGCAAACACTCCATTTCCTGCCTTTGCCTTGCCTGCCTTAAAAACGCCTGCCTTGTTTCCTTTTTCCATTCGTGACTCCTCCGAATGCTTGCTCAAATTGAAACAGTCACTACGTGTACTTATGTAGAGTGACAGTTCTAATGGGATGACACAGTTTCGAAGTTTAAAAATACTGCTTTCCCAATCTTATCCAAGTTTTCAACTTTCAAAAAAGAGTGACTAGTTTCGAAGGATACCCTGTAAAATTGTTTTGCACGCTGTCATGCTCGTGGCTATCACAGTTATGGAGGTCGTTTTGTATCTTCTTCCAGCGATGAAGACCGTCATCTAATACAGAGAGGCTATTTTTAAGGCCATCTCAAAGAAATGTTTCTTCACTTTCAACTTCCTCTCATCATCAAGAACTGATTCTGAAAACGAAGAGGCCGTGCTACAGCAGCACAAAAGATGACAGCTTAAGTTGCGTTTTTCATGCTGGGCTGGGCCTACAAGTACAAAGGGGCTGCTTGTTTTTGTAGCTCTAACCTCAGGGACGGCCGGGAAAATCAACATTTACTCCCAAGAATTGTATGCTAAATTTCTATTTCCCGGCCGTTCCAGACAATCCCTCTGGAGGAATCGTGGGAAGGCAAGGCTGGCTCGTGCCAGTTCAAAGATTGTCGCGACCAAAATCTCAGCGACTAAAACTGAATGTCACTGGTACCTGGTACTTTTTGACATCAGCTGTGCATGATAAAAGCATGGCATCTTGCAGAGCCATGCGAAACTAAATGAAGGATGCCAAGTGTGAAAACGCCAACCGATGAATATGATGCACCAGCTACCGGTACCATTGTCAATGAAAACAGCAGTGTGGCGTCCGCTTCAGAGTGGACTGAGAGCGAGAGCACCCGTGATCGTCAAACTCTGGTCGTATCCTGTGAAGCAGATGCTCGTACAGGCCAGAAGGCCACGGTGGATTATTCGACTGGGTCGTCTACTGATTGTACGGTGCCAAGCCAACCTCCATTCGAGGGACTTGATTTGATAAAGCCATTGCATGAAAGTGCAAACAATGATGGTCATTCTCCATTTGCCGATGACGCCTCTGCCCATTACAGTGCTTTGACTTCCTTGTCGGGATTCTCAAAGGACCTCGTCCCATCCATAGTCATTGGAACGGAAACGACAAGGCAAATTGCGGACCCTACTTCTAACCGAATAAGTGGAGCTTCCATCCGAAATGATGCAAGACAGTCAGAACTCATGATTTTGAACACTGAAAATCGTCGTTCGTCGATAGCAATGGAATCGCTCACCATCAACAAGCTGAAATTCTCGTCCCTCGGTGTGGTTGGAAGAGATCGAGAAATATCAGTATTGGAGTCATGTTTTGGTAGACTTTTATCCAGCAGTCAAGGAACCGAAAATCGTACAGCGGACGATCCAACGCCACCAATACATAATGAGCTCGTTTTCATTCAGGGATACAGTGGCATTGGGAAATCAACAATGGCACGGTCTTTACAAACGATTGTAGAAAAATCTCCAGATGGGGTGTACGTCGAAGGAAAGTATGAATTCACTTCAACGGACGAGCCATATTCCGGTGTCGCACAAGCCTTCGGGAAATTATGCGATCGATTCGGTGACTGTTCGAAAGAAACGGTTTCCGAGATCTCGGACATAATCATGGATACAATGAAAGAAGAAGCAATAATGCTGATGGGACTTATACCGGAGCTCAGCATCTTTTGGAATACTGACGAAACTACGCCCAGGAACGCCCTTAGCGAAGCACACAATTTTGGTAACGATCATGAACGATGGAAGTATGCCTTCCGCACATTAACACAAATCCTTGGCTCGCACTTATCTCCTATCGTTATCGTCTTGGATGACATCCAATGGGCTGATATATCGTCGCTTGACATCATGGATTGCTTGATATCAGATGTGAAGAATCCACACCCAGTAATGATGATTGGTTGCTATCGATCCAACGAGGTTGATGAAAATAGCATCCTCTACAACCGTATCAAGACACTCGAAGAAAAGAAAGAATACCTTTCATTTCATATCACTGATATATTGCTGGACAGCTTTGATGTTTACGATGTGAACAAGTTGATAATGTCCATGATGTCGATTGATGATGAATCGACCACTCTTCCGCTAGCTGAAGTATGTCACAAGCGCACTCTGGGAAATCCATTCTTCTTGATTGAGTTCATGAGAGTGCTGCACACAGAGAAGCTCTTGGAATTTAACCTTGGATTGATGAAATGGGTTTGGAAGACGAAGAAGATCGAAGATGCAACTATGTCAACAGCTAACGTCGTCGATCTGCTTCAAAACAGGATGAGAAAACTGTCAAAAGACCAACAGCTGCTACTGCAGTATGCAGCATGCCTCGGGTCATCCATTTTTGCTCCGAATATTACTTTTGTTTGGAAGGAACATGCTCTTGCCCTGTCACTCAGTTCGAATAAGGATGTGGTTGCCATGCTTGAAGTGGTAAAGGATGCTAATTTCATCGAACTCTGTGGAGAAGATGAGTACCGTTGGGTTCATGATAAAGTACAAGAGGCGGCTTTTTCATTGTCAGATTTGGTGACCCCGTCCTTCCAGTGTGCCCTTGGAGTCTGCTTATTCCAAGGTTTGGAAGACTCGCAGCTTGAGAAGCAGCTTTTCGATGTTGTCGATTTGATCAACAAAGGGAATGCAATAGAAAGCCTAGAACTTGCCGAACTGAATCTACGGGCAGCAAAGAAAGCACGAAGAATCGCAGCCTTCCAAAGTGGTGCAAACTATGCCAACAGCGGTATCAAGCTGCTTTCATCAGATGACATGTGGAGAACCAATCGAGAGCTTCTGCTTGAGCTGTACACGTTATCTGCTGAAATGGAATTGGCAATTGGACGTATCAATGTGGTTGACGTACGGATCCAAACAGTCCTCGCCCGGAAGATTTTTACCACCGAAGAGACAATGCGACTTCAAATTATTAAGGTTGCGAATCTGTACTCTGTGGAACTTCGCTTTGACGAGGCAGTAACTTATGGTGTTCGTGTGCTCAAGGAAATTGGATACAATTTTGTTTGGCCAAAGAAACTGGTTCCTCTGCAAGCGCTAATGTTGATGACGAAAACCATCAAGAAACTGATGGCCTTGCCCGCAAGCCACTTCAACAACATCCCTTTGATGCAAGATCCAAAACACCTTTCTATTGTGCAAATGTTGTCCAAACTCCATCATGCGACATACAATGTTGGTGATCTTCCGCTAAATTTCGTCGTCATATGCAGGTCTATCTCATTGACATTGAAACACGGCCCTAATGATCTTTCGGCGCCAAAGCTTGCAGCTCTTGCTGCGTGTTGGATGTTTATAAAGAATGACCATGCTACATGTTCGCATATCCTCAAGTTGATATTCTCAATTCAAAGAAGATTTGGCATTCGGAATGCTGCTGAGACGTAAGTTCATCGAATGATTATGCACAAACTATCTCTCGACGTGAATTCCAGTACATTCTTTGACCCACAGGGAATGTATCAATCGATGAGGAACAGAAGAAAGCAGTCCTGCAGGAATTCCAAATGCACCATTATCAACCATCGTCTCAATCTGTTTCTCATTTTTCATTTATTTTCCAATTCAAAATTTAGATATGCCACCAGCTTGGGGTTTGTACAATGTTATATGAAGCCGTTACACGAAAGTCTTCAGCCTGCTTTAGGCGGATATGTTCAAGGATTGAAAGATGGCGAGATCGAGAACGCCATGTCGTGCCTATGTCTAAGATTTCTGTATTTGCCATATCTAATGGGGAAACCTCTTTCCTCAATAGTCGAAGAGTTTCCAAAGCTGGCGGCCCAATTGGAGGAAGCGAAGCGCGCAAAGGAACTTTGGGCCTTTCGAGCGTTGTGGAAGATGATGTTGAACTTGCAAGTACCACCTGATGAGGCATCAAAGAAGCTTGACGGTGAAGACTTGGAACTATCAGAGGACGACAGGAAATCGTGGCACGTTGGTTTTACAAATTTTGCCATTGGTGAAATGCTGCTCTTTCTATTCACGGACCACGAAGCTCGAGTGGAACGATTGCTTGGGGAAGAGAAAGGAAACACTTTTCCCGAAAAAATTCCGGCTTTCCTTCTTGGTACAATCGACACTTTTCACAGAGGCATTGCATGGTATGCCATGGCTCGACGAACTGGCCGGAAACGGTACAAATCCGAGGCAAAAAAAATTAGAAAGGCGGTGTCTTCGTGGGTATCGGCGGGGAATCCAAATGTCGTCCATTACGACTTGTTACTAAGTGCCGAACAGGCCGTATTGGACAAGAAATATGACAAGGCTGATGATTTCTACAGAAGGGCCATTGTCAGTGCTGCTCGTGGCGGTTTTCTCCATCATGCGGCTCTATTCAACGAAAGATTTGCAGAATATCGAATTGACATACATGGCGATATTGACGATTACAAGTATTATACGCAAGAAGCGATTCGATACTACACGGATTGGGGGGCAGTCGGCAAAGCGAAAGAACTGGAGCAAAATATGATAAGGTGCAATGATTCCGACTTTTCTAATGATTAGCGGTATGAAGGCTAGCTCGCTACTTCAACATTGTCAACTGACTTTAATCCACTTTTCTTTGCTAGACGGTACTCGTAAGTCAATAACTTATCTGGTACCTGTTCTCTCTTCGCTTCTGTAGTGTCGTAGTATTGTATCTTGTCTTTCTTCAATAGCTTTTCCACCAAATCATCATTGGTGATAGGGACATTGCTTCGTTTCAATCAAATAGAGATAACTGCGTCATGCCATGATTGCCTTGGTCCCTTTGATCAACTCCTCATCGTTCTTGGTTCGAGAACGGCACTTGCTGATGCATCAAGTGGACAATATTGGTTTTTTTGCTTAAATTTGTTGTGGGACAGATCCTTTCTGGTGACAATGCCCGACTAGAGCCGTCGGGTTGGGTGATTTCCACTTCATTATGGTCAAGACATGGACACTGCATGGAGATCAAACTAAGCTTCAGCGCTGGAAGTATAGTCGATATCAAAGTGAAGCAGATGCAGTGATAGCTTATTGGCTTTGTATTAGAGTGCTGATTGTGAGCGAAAGGATCCGAAAGAGTACCGACCAATATTCCAATCTTAATGTCCAATACGGAGGACGCCAAAGTCAAAGTAGGACATCTGCCTTTTGCTTGAGTTTCCTTGGAGTGGTGCATTTATTTGGTTGTCAAATATACCAGAGGTTCCTGTCAGAATAAAGCGTGTTGAGGAGCGACGTGAAATTAATCACTACAACAGCAATGTAAATGGGTGGTCGTCAAACTCAAACCAACAAAACAACCTCCACCGATAATGAAACCGTATACTTACATTACGATTCCATTTTACAGCACGGTATCTCATTTGGCCTTTTTGAATTGCCGACGCATTATCATACCTACTGTAGATGATGATAGATTATTATTACAGCAGAAGATTTTGATTGAACTTTGAAATGTATTTACTCGACTTCTTCGACTGGTCTTTCCAGGCCTCTCATCATCATCGCGGAGTTGAATTCAAATCCTGCTTCGAAAACTTAAGTTTTCGAAGCAGGATGCTGCGGATTATACATACCGCAGCATTGAACACTAACAATAATGTGAAATAGGTATACATGTTACATGTGACATTCAGCGCTTTCAACGGACGTGCGACGATCATGGAACGAGATTTGAGGCTTCGGTGGGTACGAAATGAGTAAACTTTCGCATCCCATATCCAGGTTTGCCCACCAAGAAAACGATGCGCAGTGTCAACAACCGAGCCACAAAACCGGGGGTCACAAAGACGATCTAGTCAAAACACATATTATACATCATCGTTACATCTCCTTGCTCCCAACTGACAGAAACCAGATTAGACTATAGCCGTCAGTGAAAGAAGATAGCCAATGGGAGCGAAATCCAAGAGAAACATCAGGAATAAGAATGCAGTTCAGCAGCAGAAGCCCACCAAGACAACTTCAACCAAACAGTTGGCGTTCCCTGACATCTTTCTTTCAATTCGAAAATCAGGATTGTCTCGGTCAAGTTCTTTCGTTCTTGACATGCGGAGAACTTGCCAATGTGGCCAGATGCTGCAAATCCCTTTCCCACGTTATCTTTGAAGAAGAGGAAGACGACCAAGTGGATTTGATTTGGGAGGGAGCTGAGAAAGCAATGACGAATCCATATGACAGAGAGTCTATTCCCTTGGAAAGTGGCGAAAAATCGGGTCAAGGTGGACGGGTTCTTGACCGGTCTGACGAACGTGAAAGGATTTGATGCCAAAAGTATTGCTGAAAAAAAGGCAAACAGTTTTCAGACTGTGCATCAAGCTGGACACCACGATGACAACGAAAACGACGACGAAGAAGAAGAAGACCCAAACTGTCTTATGAATCATTTGATGATGATACATTTGGCATCATCAATAGGAATGGGATCAGAAGAAATGTATGAGGAAGCCAAGAGTATAATGGAGAAGATGATGGCAATGAAACCGCCAGAGAAAGTGATTCATTACGAAGTATTTATTCGCATCACCCAAGTTTCGACAGGACAAGTCATTTCTCAAGGATTCTGCAACAACGTTCAGCGTCGGTTGTGGCGAAGGGGTTTGAAAGAGAAGGAAGAACATTTCCCGTTTCTCCTGAAGCAGGGCCTTGAGATTACTTTTGATTTTGATTCCCTTGCTGAAACGGAGGAAATGAAAGAGTTCTTGCAGCGCTACACGGAAAATGTGCTTGGTCCATGTACATGTTTCTGCGAAGAATTTCGCGATTTCAAGATTCCATTTTGCTTCACTGCTATCGTAATTGATAAACGGGATCAAGGTACCCAGTGTCTTTTCCAGCAGGATAAATCAAGAGAACTGCGTTTGCGACGAGTTTGCCAAACGCCAGGTTCGGAAGAAGGCCGATTCAAGCACGAATTTGTGGTCTACTCAACGTGGGGCGGCGACACGGTCCAACTCGGACCGTCATCTTGCACAGACCGATACAGACTGTCCTACTCTCTTTCACTCCATGCAAGTTCACCCGCTTTTGGAATCAATGTTATCCCCGTATTCGACATCAATGTTGAATTAGATGACCGAATGAATCGTCCTTGCACGAATGAAAAAATGAATGAATGAATGAATCAATCAATCTTCAAAGCACTCTAATTCAATTAGCCAGTTCGATCGGGGACCATGTCAGTTATGAACAGAGCAGCTAGAACCTAATATTTGTTTGTTTGTATTAGCTTCTCTTTTCCCTACTACTACAGCACATACTGGTACCAGGTATGGCACGTCGCACAAGTGCCTGCATTTTGACTCCTCCACATGTATCTGACTACTTCGAACAACGTTTGACTCCTTTGAATGCGCCCGTCGGTCAATGCGAACCTTCGCCTCAAAAGATCTTCCGCCAGCAGACAGGATTTCCAGTCCAAAAAAAATCTGCTTCTCTCGTCCCGAACGCCAATCATCTGCAAGTCATACGAAAGTTAGCATTTCATTTTGCTTCATCCTGAAACTAACACATATCCCCTCCACAAGAAGCAGCAATATAGCAATATGATTTCCAATACTTCCGACGTCCCTGTATTGACAGGAGGGTTCATCACCTTGGATATGATCAAGAAGCATCCCGACAACTATCAAGACCGTCGTACCAAGATTGTCTGTACCATTGGGCCTGCCTGCTGGAGCAAGGAGAATCTTGGAAAGCTCATGGATGCTGGAATGAATGTTGCCCGTTTCAACTTCAGTCACGGTGATCACGAGGGTCATGGTGCCGTCTTGGAACGTATTCGTGAAGTTGCTATGGAGAAGTCTAGAAACATTGCCAGTACGTAACGTAGATGCGTGTTGTGTGTGCGGAGAGAAGATGCTGTTTGCATTTTTGTTCTCTCTCTCATGATTCCGCATCATCATCATCATCATCATCTCAACCATTTCTCTATTCATAGTCTTGTTGGATACCAAGGGACCTGAAATCCGTACTGGTTTCTTCGCCAACGATGCCAAGAAAATTGATCTCGTCAAGGGTGAAAGCATTATCCTAACTTCCGACTATAGTTTCAAGGGAGACAAGAGCAAGCTCGCTTGCAGTTACGCTAGTCTAGCTACTTCTGTCACGAATGGTCAGCAGATTTTGGTTGCTGATGGATCTCTTGTCTTGGTGGTCTTGAGTACCGATCCTGCCAACAAGGAAATCACTTGTCGTATCGAAAACAATGCTTCCATTGGCGAGCGCAAGAACATGAACTTGCCCGGTGTCAAGGTGGATTTGCCTACATTTACCGAAAAGGATGTCAAGGTAAATATATGCATATCGTGTGGATGACACCATGAACGAACGGTGGTGTAATTCACGACCAAACTGATGATTTCTAACTTTCTCTTGATCTCGTCGTGGTTAGGATATCGTTGACTTTGGAATTGCTCGAAAGGTCGAGTACATTGCCGCATCCTTTGTCCGTACTGGAGACGATGTTCGCAACCTCAAGAAATTGTTGGCCGACAACAATGGGTCGCAAATCAAAATCATCTCCAAGATTGAAAATCAAGAGGGATTGGAGAACTATGACGACATTGTTAAGGAAACCGATGCCGTCATGGTGGCCCGTGGTGATGTAAGTCTATTGTTTCGTACCGTATGGAACAGCATGAACAAACAAATGTAGAAAGTCATTCTCTGACCCCAATTTCTACTTCCAATATTTCTGCAGCTTGGTATGGAGATTCCAGCCAGTAAGGTCTTTTTGGCACAAAAGTACATGATCCGAAAGGCCAACCTTGCTGGAAAGCCAGTCATTACTGCTACCCAGATGCTTGAGTCCATGATCAACAATCCTCGTCCTACTCGTGCCGAATGTAGTGATGTGGCTAACGCCGTCTATGACGGAACCGATGCCGTCATGCTTTCTGGTGAAACAGGTAAGGATTTTCATCGTAATCATAAATGATGTCCCAATCAATTACCATTCCTTCTTTCTCACACACAATTCCATCCAATCTTGACTTCCTTCCATTACAACAGCCAACGGTCCATACTTTGAAGAAGCCATCCATGTCATGGCTCGTACTTGTGTCGAAGCTGAATCTAGCCGAAACTACAACATGCTGGTAAGAACACATATCATGAAGTAATCCTTGAACAATCCTTCATCAACAAGCCTTTAACCACTTTCTATATTATTTCATTTTGCAGTTCCAATCCGTCCAAAACAGTATCATCTCAGAATCTCACGATCTTTCTGCTGGAGAATCCTTGGCAAGTAGTGCTGTCAAGACTGCTATTGATATCAAAGCAAAGTTGATTGTCATCATGAGCAAGAACGGAAAAATGGCTAGCTATGTGTCCAAGTTCCGTCCTGGAATCGGAGCTCTGATGTTGACTCCCAACTTGACGGTCGCTCGTCAAGCCAGTGGCCTCATGCTCGGAATGCACACTATTCAAATTGATTCTCTTGACAAGTGGGAAGAACTAATTGAAGAGACTTGCCACGAACTTCTTAGCAACTCCATGATGTGAGTACTGATCGGAAGCAAGTCCGTCTGTTGTTTTTGTTTTGTTTCTCGTTTGCTAAACACTGTTCATTTTCGTTTATTTTTGTTTTTTGGGATCCACAGGCACAAGGGAGACAAGATTGTCGTCATCAGTGGTAAGATGGGGAGTATGCGTGAACGCCTCATTATTACCGAATTGCAGGAAGGAAAGTCGCACGGTCATTTCGTAAAGGGTGGTGGTCTATTTTTCAACCGTGGCCTCATGTTGAGTTTTGGAACCTATTAGATTTGATGTTTGTGTATCAAATCCACGGAGCTCTCCGTAACATTTAGAAACCTACTCAATTGAATATATTCATCAATCACTGCATACTTGTAGCGCTACCACATAATTGTCCTCTTTGTAGTGTCATCCTTTAGTACTTACCAGCTTCGTTCTTCACAGCCCTTTACAGTTTGTCAGTGTTACCAATACTTCGCTACGTCACACAGCAGTATTGTGAATGCTATTGCTGTAGGTACGTATCCCAAACATTCAGATACTGTGCTATTGGAGTACACCCTCCGCAAAGAGGACTTGCTTCAGGTCATCTGATGAATCGTAGTGCCGGGCGATCACGGTTACTTCTCCCGTTGCTTCACACAGCGAACCAGCTTGCACCACGGTTCCTTCTTCCCTTGTACTATCATCTGACGACCAAAGCCAATGGTAAAAGTCTGCGGCCGATTGGGTCAGCGACCAACAGCGTATCCTGGAATCGTTCAATGATGTGGGCCCCTTTTCAGAGGAGGATGGTACGGGAGATTCGGATATTTCTTTTTGCCATTTGGCTCGTTGGAGCATCCAAGGTTGCATAGGTGACGCCTTGGAACACGTTATCGTTTCAATGAAATCTACTTTCAGTGCACAGGGAGCTAGCTCCGTTTGAATCCTTGGAGGATTTTCATCAAACAGTGCTCCAGATTTCTTCCATTGAAAGATTACTGAAAAGTCATCATCACCATCGTCACCATCATTGCCAAACATGACGACTCGAGATTTGAAGTTGCCCACCATCAGATTTTGGAGGAATTTATCATCACCTTGCCGTTTTACTGGGCCGTATGTATAGCATCCGTTATCAAAGAAAACAAAACCATCATTGGCTCGATTCAAGTAAATCGGATCTTGATTGTGGATTGGTTCACGGAGTCCTTGGACTGCACCCCCTGAAGCCGATGAAAATATATAACAGATACATGTCTCTGTTAGAATATCCAAAACTATGCAAATCATATTGTCATACAAGGACCTACCACAGCTTCTCATCACCTCTTCCACAATCTGTTCATCATTGACACCATCATTGAGATTGACAGTCGTCGTCTTCCATGAGCCCACCAGAAGTTCACTGAATACATCAAATCGAGGGGGCGGCGTTGGTCGAAAGGCCAAAGCAGACGCAAACGACCTCTTACAAGGAGATGATACAAAGATCATTGACATAGAAAGGAATCGAAGAACCATCCGTCTGGACCTTATTGTACCTGGTACCGGTACCATCAATTTTGCGTGCTTGCGGATTGTGACGAACAAATCTCAATAATCCTTTCAACAGAATACTCGAAGTGGTCGACTATTCTTCACCATACAAGTCCACGCCTCCTCGCCACGCCAAATGCCGTGCCTACCGTATTTTTATATATTGAACCGGAAGAGTACCTACCGGTACTGTACGATACAGGTACACGTGAACGTGTACAGTGGCGTGTCCTGCACGGTAATCACTCGTACACTGTACACGTGTACCGGTAGATTGATTCATTCTCCTCCCAAAACGAAAAGTCCGACCGAATGGAACTAATGCTATACCTCTGCTACTACTATTACATCTGGGAGCGCTGTACGTTGCTAGCAGTTGCTGGCGTCGGCTCTGGTGGGCTCCTCCTCTATTACTAATCAACAACAATGGTGGGAGGAATGTGGTTTGCACATGAGCCACGACAACATAGAAAAAGATCCTTCAAAAATGTAGATTGATTGATTCTATAATTCTGTAGTATTAATAAACCATCGATTTATATTGAGTATCTATATTGTAATGAATATTCAACCAGTGCAGGATATTCGGCAAGTATACAGTACAACTAACGTGACAAAAGATCTCGTCTTTCTCGTTTTCAATCTGACACACGTGACTGAATCGTGCAGGGACTCAGGATCCTTATGAAAGCGCGACCGTTATGAATATAAATGTAGATTGAGAGCCGGCAGTAAATCCCGAGTGAAACAGGACCATGAGACAACCGGAAAAACTTCTAAAATCATGAGTGATGGTTCTCGTTGTCCTCTCTATGCAGGATGTTGATAGAATGGTGCAATAATGGGTATTGTTGGTTGATCATAATCGTATCATTTGTTTAGAAAGTTTGCTGTTTGTGATATGTATGTTCTATTGGCATGAATTTTACTCGGCACCCCCCTGCCTTGTAGCCCCCTCGCTACAAGTTAAAAGTTTGAGAGTACCGCCCCCCACCGAGTTGGAAGCCCTTTTTCTTCTTGATCCCTGTCCACAAGTGACAAGGGAAAAGAAGTCCACTCGTGCTCTTTTCTTCTGTTTAATGTCGGTCAATCAAGTCTCTCTTATGGCTGGATACCGTCTTGCGTGGCGATTCTCGAATGGGGGAAAGGGACGAGGAATGCGATGTTGGAGTGCGCACCCCACTGGTCTTCTTTTTCGGTTGTTTCTCCAACATGTTTGGAAAGTAAGCTTCGTACATGTCCCTCACCGCGACTGTGTGGGCCATTTCCTTGTTTGCCACACTCCACACTTCGGCGAGATGTGCAACATAGTCCGAGTCTCCAGCATAGGTATCGTGGTATGCGAGTAGCACTTGATAGACGAATTCTGCATGAGCCTCTTTGCGGGTGGGAAAGTAGATTCCCATGCCTCTCGTGGAATCCTCGACTGGTATTGCCAGGCCTAGCGATTCATGTTTGCAAAGTTTGATTGCCCGCTTCTTGATGCGATCCAATTCGTTAGGAGTAAACCAAGTGTTGTCCCGTTCTTCATCAGTCCAATCTTCTGATGATTCAATGAAGGCGACAGAGTCCTTTGCACCAAACGAAACATTACGAATCCCCTTGGACACAATGGAGGATGTTGAGTTCAGCATTTCCATTTCGATCGGCAGTAGTTCGTCCAGATCCATGGAGCTGCAGCAGTCTGACTGAGGAGCAGTCAGGATGATTGGGTAAAAGTCGTTACTTTCTTCTTGTGGCAACATTGCGATGTATATTTTAGATTTGGTTGGCTTGTTCAATTGGTTGTGGTTCAATGGAAGAAATTGTGGTTGCAACCAGAAGGTGAATGGACTGCTTGTGAAAAAACAGAAATCGAAACCAAGACACGAAACCTTGGAAACCCAAGATTGGACAGAATACACCCAAGAACACTTTGTCTTCGGTTCGTATCAGTGGTACCTGCTAAGTTCCGTGCAATTCCACTGTAAACATCCGCTAATTTTTAGGCAAGACCAAGATTGACGTTTTTCATTGGCTTCTCTATATCTCTTCAGCAATAAAGCTCGCATAGCACTTATGAATCCCGACATAGGAGAGACAACAAGCGCTATTGAAATTCCTTAAATATTTCTTCGCCAACGCGACTTCTGTGACAGACTTATATTGCAATTTTGTCCAGCTATCGTGACGAACATGCAAAGTTCGTAAACGTTTAATGGACGCGATCTTGCTTCCTGTTCTTGCCAAGATTCCAAGACCAAGATCGAACGTGGGTATGGAAAATATATCGGTCCGACTTTCGGAACCTGGATTCCGGCATCAAATATGGAGCGTCTCAAAATGAGTGACAATATGGTATACCTTGCTTGGGAATGTCTGAACAAGAATGCTAATGCATCTATCAGCATGGGCGAGGGACATTCAAGATCAAGATGACCCTCTGTTGTGATATTTGATCACCGAAGATTTCCGACCTCGAGGCACTTGCATTTTCAAGTGGTATTACTTGTACATCCTCCGACTCCCAACCAAAAAATGCTACCATACAAAGGTGAATTGTGTGAGACGGTCCTGTAAACTTGAGCAGCGACACTAAAGCTATCCTACATGTGGCCGTCTTTGGACGAACAGCAAAATCGACGACAACAAAAGTGAGTCGAGTCCTCGTCCAGCTTTAGGATACACACGACGAACGAGTGGTGGCTGACAACAACAATGATGATGCTCACATCAATGGAAAGTCAGGAACCAAGGGATGTGCCGTGCATTTATACGATCGAGCCAATTGCCAAGAACATTTATAAATAATGAGACCATGGTACTATCCCCCCGACTCGTCGCCTCGGAAGAAAGTCCCTTTCTTCTTTCCACGTCATTGTCGCAGATCAATCTCAGTTTGCACTTCCACACCTCCGGGTGAAGCATAAGGGACGAAGTACATATTAGTACTCATTTTGGTAATCGTCGGTAATCGTCATTGTCAACGCATCTATGCATATCCTTCGTTTGTTGGAATGTAGAGTAGTACAATATACTGTAGAGATAGAGACGTACAGAGTAGAGTATGGTGGAGTAGAGCAATGACGATTTTCAGTGGAGGTCGATCCAGTCGAGTCGAGTCACGAGTACGTGGACCACTCATATCGTACGATATCTTTCCTATTTGAATTATTTGGTTGACTGCAAGTCGTGCATAGAGCTAATAGACAATACATTGATAAATACTTCTCATCAGAATAATAATAATAATAGTAGTAATCACACACATGTCCGGACAACGACCATTAGCGACACTCGATGTCTCCCAAGTGGAGGGCACATGGCAAGGATCCTTGGTGAATGCGATTTTGTGGATGGACGATACCTTGGGTGCGGACCAATGGACGACTCGGCAAATTGCTGTGGTCTCGATTCTATCCATTGGAGTCGTCCAATTCACCATTGGCGACTGGAAGAAGGTCAAGTGGTTTTCCTTTTGGCATGCTGTGCTTTCGGGATACGGGAGTCTGATCTGCGTCTTGCTGAATTACTTTGCGGCCTATCGAATGACGGGGTACACGGAACCCATGGGGAGCGTTCTGTGCCAGGGACCTTTGACCAGTTTGCATCGAATTGTGCCTGCTATTACCATGGGATTTGGAATGTTTGATATCATGGAAGGATTTGCCAATGGAATTGATTTCATGTTACACGGTCTGGCAACATCCTTCATCATGGGTTACTTTACGGAATATGATATTGGTGAAATTGTGACCCCCATGCTCTTGATGGAAATTTCGACGCCTTTCTTGACTCTAACACGATTCGAACTCTTCAATGACAAGGCAATCACAATCAATATGGGATTATTTGTCCTTTCCTTTTTCTTTTATCGCTGTTTGGTGGTGCCCTATATCATGTTTGAAGTGTTCACCACGTTAATGAAACATCGGAATGACCCCGCCAGTCAGGAATGTTTGCCATGGCACTTGCCACATGTCGTATTTACCTTTTCCGTATTCTTTTGCACTCTTAATTTCTACTGGATGTACAAGATTGTTAAAAAGGTACAGCGCAAACTGAGCGGCGAAGAAAAGCTGAAAGACAAGAACGATGTCAGCAATCATCGCAAGGAAGAGTAAACAACTCCTTCCTAATTGTTTAAAAATGCTATTTTTGTTCCTCCAGCTAGATACTCATGTAGTCATGACCATGGATACAGTGCCGGCAAAATGAGAATCAATCAGTCTCTTGAACCATTGTATTTTGAAGATTGCTTCCTTCATCCATCACCGTGCGACACCACCAATATGTTAGCGTGGATTGTTCTATATATGCCAATAGCACACTCGACATTCTTGAAACCAACTGAATGAATCAATCGGATCAGATATGAATATCAGTAGTACTGGTTGACAGAACCGACCAATCATTGCAAACAATGTCAAGGTTCTTCCTTGGAAGAACATACACACACAAGTCACTGTCTGCTGCATTGTATTCCGGCTGGCTGGCTGGCTGGCTGCGACGCAATGACCAAAGCAAACATTGGCGAACAAGTTCGTTCGAAAAGCAAGACAGTTTCGACAACAGCAGACACTAGCGGGTAACACTACCACCACTGGCACCACCAGGCTTCAAGAGTGCCGTTGGCGGTGCCACCACCGCAGTCGGCTTTTTGCCACCAATGGTACCTAGAGCAGCAACCTTGTTTTTCTTGCCACCCTTTTTCTTCTTCTTTTTGGCAGCAGCACCACCACCTGCAGGTCCTCCTCGTGCTCCACCTTTTTCTTTCTTGTTTTTGCCACCGCCGACCTTTTCGTTCTTGTCCTTTTTCTTTTTGGTCTTTTTGCGTTTGAGTTCTTGTCGCTTGTCCCGTAAGTGTTGCACAATGGCTGCCACAGGCTGCGCTTGTTCTTGACCAGCAGCACCGCCATCCGCCACCAGTCCTACCAACGTGTTGGCAGCCCCACCGCCGGGTGCTGGCTTGGGTCTTGACTCGAGTTCTTCCTTCTTTTTGGTCAGCGAGTTCAACCAATTCTTGTACTCGTTGGTACTTTCGATTGTACCCTCCCGTCGATCGGGCCGATATTGGTGTCGCCAAGTCTTGCCGGACATGGCGGGTTCAATCTGGCAATTACCAACAACATTTTGTGATTGTGATTGCGGTTGTGATTCTTGTCCCTCAGCCGCAATGCTGGCCAAGAAATCAATGGCACGCGAGACCAACAAACGACCCTTGGCAACGGCAGTAGAATAATCGGCGGCTAGAGCCTTGTTGATGGCAGCTTGATGATCCACCACTTTTTGTTTTTGTTTGTTGTCTTCGGCCTGCTTTTGGTCTTGTGGTGGTGGGGATGCTGCCGTTTCTCCTTCCATCTTTGGTTCTTCTTTGTCTCCTTCCTTGATTGTTTCTTTAGGGGACTGGGTGGCTTTTTCTTCCTGCTTGGCCTCTTCTTCCGTAGTAGTTGGCACTGGCAATTCTGCAGTTTTTTCCTCTTGTCCTTTCTCTTCTTTCTTAACTACTACTTTTTCTTCTTCCTCTTCCGGCACCGCTTCGACTTCCGCAATTTCCGGTGGAACAGGAGTCGGAACTTCAATTTTTTCAATTTTGGGTGCTGTCAAGAGAATATAGGCACATCCCACCTTGTCTCCATGACGACGTGTCTTGCGGGGTGGATTGACATACAATGGACGAGCCGTGATCAAGGGAATGGAAGAGTGTTGTTTGGGAGCTACCACCACATCCAGTTGATTCTCTTCTTGCTGTTTTGTCTCTTGCATTGTATCCTTGTTGTTGGCTGGCTCTTCGGTTGATGATTCTTTCTCAGCAGTGGCGTCGTCCCCATCTTCGTTTTCTTCGTCTTCTTCCTTGCCTTCTTCTTCCTCTTCTTCCTTGGCAGCTTGTTGTTGTTGTTGTTGTTCTTGGGCTGCTTTGAATTCTTGTAGATACTTATTGGAAAGCTCTTCTTCTTGAATCAAATATCGCATGGCCGAACGATCCAATTCAATATGATATTGATTCCCATTCTTTTCATTCGCGACATTGACAATATTCTGGACCATTTCAAGGACGTCTTTGACACTTCCATACTTTTCCACCCCATGGATATTCCGCCATATCAATTTGGTTTGGGCTGGAAGAGGAACATTTGGTTTTTTGGAATGTTGCTTGTTGTTGTTGCTGCTGTTGTTGCTGCGTTTGTTGCGTTTGCGGTTGCCCCGGCCTCGTCCGCGATCCACCATGATGGATGACTTGTGTGTCCCCCTTTTTTTAAAAGGAGAGAGCGAGTGAATAGAGAATCAATCAATCAATCAATCAATCAATGAAAGGAACGATGCGTAACCAAACAAACAAAATTGGTAGTGTTTCTTTTGAGCTACAGTGCCGGTATACTTGTTGCTTCCTACTGTAAAAAAGGATGATGGCGTTCAGATTGCGATCATCCAGAACGAGCTCGCATCTTTGCGGTTCGAACGCAAGCCAGACGATTCATTCAACTTTCTCCCCCAAGTAATTGATAATGGGGGAGCGATCATGTTTTTTCTATCTACATACGATAGTATCGTACTGTAGTATAGTATTCATATTGTAGTACAGTATGGTACCAGGTACCAGGTACTGTACTATTTCGATCCACATCTCATTTTCCTCCATGTCATTGCTGGGATAATCATCACTACCACTCATGCAATAATGAAGGCTTTACCTACAAATACTGTACAGTACTTTACTGCACGTAGTGAGTTGGATGCCAACATAATAATGGTACACGTTCAACGTGGAACTTTTTCTTTATTCGATTTGTTCGAATGTTCTCATCACCACACGCACGACAGATGCGAAAACAGAACGCAGAACTTCAACTTTTATATGGATGCTGCTGCGCACGTGACGTCGATTGATCGCTCATCAGAGTGATCAGTGCACAGTGCCGCCTTCTCTGTTCTTTTTGTTCCATCTTCCAATAGAAGACCATTCATTCACCAACAACCTTTAATCTAAGCTTCTCTCTACCATCTCCATCCATCATAGTCATCCACCATAGTCATCAGTATGTGCCAGTTAATGGGAATGAACAATGCGGCACCCACGGATTTCACCTTTAGCTTCAAAGGGTTTTGTCAACGAGGAGGTGCCACAGACATTCACAGTCACGGGTTTGGATTGTGTGTCTACGAAGGCCGAGGCATTCGATCCTTTCTGGATACTTTGCCGGCCTCCAAATCACCACTGGCCCAAGTCATTCAGAATTATCCAATTCGAACACATGTAAGTCAAAGTGATCTATGTCGAAAGCAGTGTATGCAATGGGATCATACCGGTAGTACAGTCGCGTTCAAACGAGTAGCCTATGCGTTCGGGTTTGCAGAAATTTCACGATCTGTTGAATTTGATTTCCATCATCAATCATCATCCTCAATCATGACTCTTTCTCACACTTTGTATATTGCTCCCTACTTGCGTGCCGCCCATTATCAAATTTAGAATATGATTGCTCATGTCCGATATGCCACTACAGGAGCGGTCAGTTTGGAAAACGTCCATCCCTTTTCCCGCGAATTGTGGGGAATCCATTGGTCCTTTGCTCACAATGGTCAGGTTCCCAAATTTGACGACTCGACGCCTCTGGAAGCGCAACCCTTGTTGGGAAAGACGACGCTCGAAGAATTGCATTACAATCCAGTGGGAGAGACGGATTCTGAGGCGGTCTTTTGTGCCATTTTGAATGCCCTCAAGGCCGAATTCACAAGTCTTCCCACCTTGCCAGTCTTGCATGGATTCTTGTCCAAACTCTGCAAGGAAATCATTCTGGGGGACGAAGATTCGACAATCTTTAATTTCCTCTTGGGATGTGGCAAGTACACCCAATTTGCCTTTTCGTGGCCGGGACGCCGACCGGGATCCAAAGTATGGAATGGTTTGTATTACATTGTAAGATCGCCGCCCTTTCAGACGGCTAGTCTGGTAGATGCGGACTATTCCATTGACTTTGCCAAATTTGCCAAATCCAATGACCGTGTGGCGGTGATTACGACCAAACCATTGACGGATGAAACCGGATGGACGGAATTTGAACGAGGACAATTGATCATGTTTGACAAGGGATTGCCACATCGATCGCCAAGGTGCTGCGAGCAAGTTGAAAAGGAAGGTCGGGGTTTGAGTTCCAAATGCTTTGAACGGTTGAGAACCTCGTCCATATCGTCAGCCACCATGCCCATTTCCGAGTCTTCGACCTGTTGCTCGGAAGAAGAAGAAGTAGTAGTAGTGACGATACCGCCGGAAGTACCTCCACAGAGTGCCTTGTTTCCAACGGCAGCCGAATGATGATTGCTGTCTGGGCGTTATTTGACAGAGAATTTTCCGACATTGAGAGTACCAGTTATCTATTGCCGCTACTTGTGAACAACCTCGCTCCGAACGCGCCTTGTCGGGGCTACACTGTTGAGAGTAGGGAAGCAGGAGAGGCCAGCCAGCATTGATGATGATGCTGATGGTTCGAAATACTAGTACTGTAAAATTGAAACTCATGCATGGCCATGATCGTGCCACACAAGAACAACATGAAACAATACAGGATATAGGCCTACGCACGTTAAAATGCTTATGTTTTAAAAAAATAGAATTATTTACATGTGTAAAGTAATTATTGTTGTAGTGGAAGAGGGCATTATGCATCAATCACACTTGTGTCCTCTGTCTTCTGCACCGTCCTCGATAAGGTACTGTACATGGTACTCTTCTTCGTTCGACAGACAATAACCGTCGGAGACATTTTTCGCCTTGGTGTGACTTGTTACTCGATCATTAACAAAAGACATGTCGTACGTACGTCCTAGTACCACAACCACAGTTAGACATTTTTCGCCGGGGTCATTTTGGGGATAGAAATGTCTTGCCTTCTCTTTTTGGGGCATAACATGTCCTAGTCGTGTTCTTCTCTCTTCCCAACTGTGTTCGGAGCCGGGGAGGACTTTTGACCTGATGGTGAAACTAGTACAACAACTGCAATTGATATCTTACTTGTTACTTGCTTGTATCTTTTCTTCTTTCATTGAATCCACATATTCTTTTATCTTTATCATCGTCTACTACTAGTAGTAGTCCACAAGAACAACAACAACAACAAAACAGAATGAAAGGAGTCACCAATATTGCCTTGAGCGTGGATGGATTTATTGCCGACAAGGACGGTAGCATGGAGTGGTTGAATAATCAGCCACAGATTCCTGGTGAAGACTTTGGTTTCAAGGAATTCTTGAAAGGTGTCGACTGCATGATTATGGGTCACAAAACCTTTGATACCGTTGCGGGATTCGGGTGAGTTTGTACTTGTTGTTGAAGGAGTGTGTTGGAATGAATCAGCGCGCATGAATCTATCAATTCAACGCCACTGTGTATACACATTACTATCTCTTTTGTCCTCCTCCTTGTAAATTCCTGCTGTACTGTATCTTTCTCTTCTCACCCTCCTCATCATCATCTTCGCTTTGTTCAGGGAGAAATTGTGGGCGTATGGAGACAAGCCAATCTATGTGTTGACCAGAGGTGCCGTTTCCAACGTCATCGTTCCCGATTGGGTCCCTCGGACCGTCACAGTCACTACTGTGAAATCCTTGCAAAAGTTTTGGCTGGATTTGGAAAGCAGTCATCCTAAATTCAAGACTGTATACGTGGATGGTGGTCGAACCATTCAATCCTTGTTGCGAGGTGGATTCATTGATCGAATGACTCTTACCCGAGTCCCCATTCTATTGGGTGAGGGCATTCCCTTGTTCACTGCGTCTCTGGGTCATAATGTCAACCTCAAGCTCTTGGATACAAAGCCCTTTCCGAATGGCTTTATCATTACTACTTATCAGGTAATCAATGAAATTTAATTTATTTTCTTAAAAACTACAGTACGGTCTTACATTACCGGTACAATACAGTCTTACTTTCCTACATATTTGGAAGTTTCAGTCAATAGTTTTACTTTTTGTTTAATATTCGTCCTTGTCATCGTCATATTCATGCGCCGCCACTCCTCTTCGAACAGCATTCCCAACCTTACTTCGGGCACTTCCATCCGCATACTTGGAAATGTGTTCCAAGTATCTATCTTTGTCAGGGAAGGTACGCTTGAGGCTATCCAAATTCGTAACATGGTCGAACCATTCATGGTAGGCTTCCAACTCTTTGGTTTCCGGGATGACAAAGTCTTCTCCTCGGTATTCCTTGAAGACATAGTACCGGTAGGCCCATGGCAACAGAGTCAAATCTACACTTCCCAATTGTCCATCTGGCAAAAATGTAGGCCCAGAGGTTTCTCGTAGTTGTTTCGAAAAGTTTTCCAATCCCTTGATAAGATTGGCAAAGTGTTCCTTTCGTTCGTCTTCTTCCTGACGGACTAATACTCCATAATAGGTCGAACAGCACTCGCGATTCAACTTTTCCGTCCACACACGGGCTCGGGCCGCCAAGAATGGATCGTCGCTGACCAATTTATCCTTGCCAGTGGCCCCACTCACGGCATCAATGTAGTCAATGACTGGTATCGATTCGTACACCGACTTGGATTCTACAGGTTTGCCATCGATGATAGGAATCAAGGTGGGTACCAAGGCTCCAGGACAAGCTCGTTTCAATTCTTCGGCCTTCCAATGGTACCACCATTCGTGTCCAGCACCCGTCACATTTTTTTCGTCATTTCGTCGCTCCCATCCCAGAGCTTCCACCCATTCGTACTCCACTCGCCCTTGATGATGTTCGAGTGCCAAGGTGGCTCGGTGTGCAAACGGACAGAACCACGCACTCAAATAGCGGAATTTGGGAATGGATGATTTGGAAGCCACTGCTGCTGCTGCTTGTGTTGCCATTTTGCAATGAATACTATTAATATATATTATGTATGTCGTTCCGGCAATGTATTTTATGGAAATCAATGATCGAGTGCAAGAAAAAATGATGATGACGTACACACAGTACCGCGAAACGTGTTTTGTTTTGATCGAATAAGTCGGCATGCTGCGAAGAAAAAATAAGCAGTATAATACGATGACAATATTATAAACCTTCATTCCATATTATAACACGCTTTCGTTCATAATAGTGAAGTCGAAAATCTTTCGATTTCTACAGGTATACCTACGGTATTGACATCATCAACTCAAGATGGGAGACGATTATGAGGAGTACCAACATATTTTCTGTCAGCTCCATATTCATATTCCGGGGCAGCCAGCACTCATTGACATAGATGCAATCATCCAGCGTCGAATGAACGATGAGTCTTTGAGAATTCTTGCCGACTTGAGAGAGATGCCGTACACAAAGAAGAGCAACTGCAGACGACCTATGATGCAGCAGACCTACATATCTACGAAACAGGCACAACTGTGGAAAACTATCAAAGCAAGAAACCCCTTTGGATTAGTACTTCACTAGATGACGAGGGAATTCAAGGAACATCATTAGCGAATCCGCTGCTTGTGGTTATTGTATCCACACCCATTCCACTACTTCCGGCAGCAAACAATGCAAACATGTATATGGCAAACAGACAAGAATTTGAGCCACTTTTGTGTCTTCAATGAAGTGTTTTTGGACACCTCAAACCACTCATTGAGTCAGTCTGTTCTTACTGCAAATATCATGTAGGGCTTGAACCGTTTTTTTCCACCCAATAATGACAGATTTGGAAAATCTGGAAAGGAAGACAAATCTGATGGAAACAGCAACAACATCATGGGTTGGCCGAAAGATCACAAGAGAGAGAATCGAGGATGCTGGGGAATCTAATTTCTATCAACGGACCATGCCCAGTTTGCATTTCTTGTTGCATCTGGTCACGTACGAAGTGGCAAGACAAGGACCGGAATCGAATTACCAGGAATCATCGACAGGGTCTTTGAGTATAAGTCCCTGGATCAAAAGGTTCTTCCAACTGTATATTTGAAGATAGATTTCTTGAATGGTGGTTCGAAATTCAACGCGCAATTCGATACGTCACGTCAATATTACACCAATAAGCCAGGCACTCGGAGGCCGTTTGCTGTCTTCATACTTCGAAATTCCTGGTTTGCAACCGGTTCCACACGACGTGGCCATGAAACGAATTCTACAGGATGTGCTCCCAAAAAAGAAAGAGCAAGCAAACGTTGTTGTTCCGGTCGTCATTCATTTTGACAAACATAGCACAGTCATTGCCAATCGTAACCGACCGTTCGGAGAAGAACATTGATGGAAGGCATATTTCTTTTTTTTAAAATGTTGGAATGCCTAGGGTCACTTGCTACTTCGAATGATTCAGCAGTCCGTGATTGGCACAGAGCTAGGAATTTCCTCCTTGTCCCAACAACCACTGGGACGAAAAAGCGCTGATGCCGATTTTGGGGAGTGGAGCAGATACCAAGTTCATCACTTGGCGTTGCTTATCTTGGATATGTCCACTAGAAAGAAAATGGCAGCGGAATGTTTGCAGAGCAATCCATATATATGTAAACACAAACCAGATCAGCAACATCCTTGAGAACGAATTATTCCAAGTTGCCCTGGCGGATACTGGAGGGCTGCCTGGTTTGGTTGAATTTGCTTGTGGATACAACTTTCGAGAGGACAACAGCTCACCCGTTCATCATCTCCATTCGACTGTGGCAGCATATATGAACAGGGGATGGGACGCAAAGATGGAAGCGATTGTTTCGGCTTCTCTTTCGAGGATGAAGGTCTTCAATGCCTTTGTTCTCATGGCTGGCGATGACACTTTACACTGTGCAACGGGCCTTATGGATGGGGGGGGGTTCCATATTCCTACAGGACCATGAAATTCGTCTCGCTCCTACAGTGCTCAGAAGATTGATTGATTCACCGATGACTGACAATCATATGATGTATTCGCTTATGCTAAAGGCGCCTACTAAAGCCGATCCATGGACGTAGCAGAGTTTCGAGAAGGGCCCACTTGCTCTATCTGGCCGCCACAATGGGTGCCATGGTCAAAGAACGAGAGTGATTTAAAAGGACAATTTCTGTGGGGACTTATCTACGGAACCTCCAACCTGCTGACAATTCTTACTTGTCCCAAAAGCTGGTCCTGCGCTCGGAATTTCAAAGCAACAGGTATATAGAGGATGAAAGGCACCAGTGCATCTCAAACCATGATGATATTCGTGTGATTACAGGCGAGTGATACGCATGTTCGTCTTGCTAAAGCAGGCACACCGATTGTAAATGGGTATGTAAACGTAACGGTCTTTGGTGGTAAAAGACTGACCATATTTCTGCATCAGTATAAAAACATAGTGAGTTTCTGTCATCGAATGCAAGAGTGAAATGTATCGCACATGAATGAGGCTGCGGAGAATCTTGCTTGTTGCGTGGACCCACAGCGTGGGTGGGACGTGGGTGACAAATAGAGAGGTGATTCAGGATGTGGAAGCAATAAATTCACGGCTACTATAGTTCGACAGAAATAATCTGTGTGACCATTGTCCTCTGATCAGGGAGCGTGGTTTGGTCGCAAGAGAAAATACTTGATTCTTCGCATTACAGCATGATTTGGAATATTATTTCTAAGTGAGGAGGATGAAGGCGCGTGACTTGAATACTGAGTTCGACAAATTCTATGATACAGGCTGGTGGATGGGAAGATACTGAAGGCGTTAGACAGTTTCAAAAATAGATAGAATTAGATTTTAAAATTCCTTGTAAGCAATATTAGCCACTATCCTCTACTATCTACCAACATGCCAAATTCGCCAATTGTTCAGTGAGCGGAGTGAGACTTCCTCGTTTCCAATTGCAGAATGACTCTGATTGCTGTAGTATCACATGCTCCTGAAATTTGACGACGTTGTGGATACTGTATGTACTGATTGTTTATACTAGTTCAGTCGTCAGTCGATTTTATAATAACACTGTCCGAAGTGGCGGGGACAAGCAAAACATTTCAAGTGTAAATTGAACAACCCGTCAACAAGCGGGTATTTCCAGCATCCCGGGTCGCGCAGTGTGAGCCACAACCCGAAAAAGTAGTTTTGCGAGAGGAAGCCCACTGCGATTGCGATAGTAATAATACTCAATAAGTCAACGCTGATTCATCATTCCTTCATTCCTTGGAGCCATTTTATTGATTCAAATCAATAAAGACAGCCACTGCAATGTCCGCTGAACTACAAAAATTCTTCAAGGAGTTCCTTATTGAGGAGTCGGACGATGAAAACAGGGATGCCAATGTTGACACTAATGATACTGCTGCGGCCAATGACACGGAAAAAGGAAGAATGGAATACACTCCTCCTTGGACGTTGAAAGAATGGCGGAATGCTCAATTAGTGTCTATGCACACATACTTTAATAGCCGGATAATCCAGGATACAGATATTCCAGAGGATTCCGATGAAGAACTGGAAGACTATAAAAGTGACGAGGAAGAACTATTATGCAGCAACGACAGTGACGATGATTCCCAAGGGGAATCCCAAGAAGAAACCGAACGATTCCACACACAAGAAGCCTTCCAAGGATTGGAAGAAAAACCACGACAGCGCCAACGAAGAATCCCCCATTTGTCACAGACGCTACATTGCCTCCAAAACTTTGAATACTTGGACATGTTTACGGCGCAATTGGACCTCCCTTGCTGCCAAATTACAAGGGTTGGCAGATTGCGAAACACCCTGCGCTATTTTTCAACACATACGTCCAAAGAAAGGTGCAAAGTATTGCGCGGACGATTGCCAAGAATTCCCTTTCCTCATCGACAAGAAGATGGACCTTTGCTAAGCATGTACAAGGATGTCGTACATCTGGAACTGACCAACTTGAACGGCAAGAGGATTTATATATTCTTATACAAGCACTATGCCAAACTCTTTGATGAATGGTATCAAGAACAATTGAAGAAAAAGAGCCGGAGCGCAAAGTTTTGGATTCAGCTCAAGCAGATTCCTGGAGTTTGCATATTTCCGTTTCCCATCAATCCCGACAATTTGGCGGATACTCAACAGCTTGTGAAATATTGCATCTGCATTGGTGATGGATCCAACTTTCAAATCCCTTCCGAGTTTTGTAGCTTTATGGAATCATCTCAAGACCTCTCAGCAATGACGGAAGGTGACACTCCGATTGCAATCATGGATCGAAATGGTGACAAGACTGGCGGCAAGCTTCAACGGCTGCGAATGGACAATCCGGATATGGAATTGCGCTTTATCTATGCCACAGACGGTCAAGGAAATTATGCCAATAGCGAAACCTTGGAATTTGTCCTTTCGCAGACGTCCTTGAAGGAACCAGCGGCTCGCCAACAAAAGGGGGGATTGGTGGAAGCATGGAAAAAGTACAACCAGCACAGGATCCATGTCGGTAGTGATTCCCCACGGCCAAGTGCCAAATCCATGGATACCTCGTCACCAGGACCGAAAAGTCATAAGCAACGACAGCGACTGCACTTTGCCGAAGGACAGCACCACCAAGGCACGGTCCATTCCAAACATGTGGAAATGCCACTGGCACCCACCGATCCAAACCTTCAAACCATTACGTACGAGGGGACGGCTCAAAAGAAGGACAAGTCTAAGGATGCACCCGATTGCATTACTTTGGTAAGTAGTATGAATACTACTAGCTACTATCCCCGTTGTTCCTCCAATGGAACTAACAACAAGAAACACCAATATTGGCATGAGAAATTTGACTGACACACAATCCTTTTTTTTCCTTTGCTCTTTTGTTTTTGGTGGGTACAGTGCGAATTGCGAAATGCAATGGACGCTCAACCCGAATATACCAAGTTCTTATTTTCCGTTTGTGCGGCAGTGGTGGGATTTACTTGTGGGAGACGCACCAAGCGGGGAGATTGGATGATGTCGGCGACACTCGTAGATCAAACCTCGAATGAAAAACCAACCACCCTCATTGTATTTGCAAAAGATAGGGAAGACTTTCCAAAAATTTCAAGAGCGGGGGATATCTTGTACATGCACAACATCTATTTGGACGAATGGAATGGAAGCGTTCAAATTACTGGAATGAAAGAAAAGAGCTCTTATGTCGTGGTTCGGAATGAAGAAGGGGATGACTGGAAGGTTATTCCGACCGCCAAGGATGAATTCTGCTTTGACGAAAACGACGAGAAAAAATCGCAAACATTGTGGCACTGGACTCAACACTTTCTTCAGCAGCATTCCATCATCCAGCCGGAACATTCCTTTACGTTGCAACAAATGGTGGGACTCCCCGAGGGAAGCAGCAAGGACAAGGATATGGTCGTCATGGTATCTGGACTATTTGCATTTCCTCCAGAGCAACAAGACGGGCGCACGCCGTATGGAATATTGCGAATTTGGGATGGCACAGGTCAAAGTACTTCCGATCCGTACGTTCGCCCATGGAACATGTTGTGTTGTTCATATTATTACGTTCACAGTCACTCACCATTCGCTTTCCTTCTTTTGTAGATTGCCAATGCAGCTGATATCGGCAAGACATGCACAACGCCATGGGGACCCGCCACCAGAGGCATTGAAGAAGATATCGGATGTCATCGATGCTCTAGTGGCAGCAAATGGGATACTAGAGAATGGGTGGCAGCCACCCAAAGCTCTCTGTGGCAAGGTGGCGAATGCAGTCGTTTGGGAGGAAACATACTGGGATATGATTCAAAAGAATCTTTCAGTTGGAAGCTTTGTTCGAATGAGGAACGTAGAAGTGCGACCATGGAATTACAACGGTATCATGTCGGTCATGGTTACGAACCGATCATGGCTGACCCCCATCCCCGATGAGAGCCTTGAGATCGGCTCCCTACTGCGAGAGCACGACACACGGGTCCAGCGAAACGAATACAATCCGGATTCTGGAATACTTCCGACGCCAGTCGTCGAGAATAACCACAGAAATGATAGCGTTGGAAAACAAATCGAGGCCTTTGCCTCAAATCCCGAAGTCATGTCATTTGTGGGGCTCGTACACTTGGGTGACACATATCCGAAATACGACTGGGACCTCAAACCGTTCTGTAAATACAGCTCCGATGGGTCGACTTTTGTCTACCAGTTTGCCATCACTCTTTGTGACAACTCTGGAATGATCGATGTCATAGTCAACAATCTTTCTGGTGAAGCAATCATCGGCATGCCGGCATCACTGGCTGTGGGTACCACAAGAAGGAAACGAATGCAGATCATTGACCCGAAAATGAAATGGATGGCAAAGGTTATGAAGGTCTCTCTTGAAGGTATTGAATACTTTGTTTTGGTGGACATATCTCATATGTAATCAAGCAGTTCTGGAGCTATTATGACTATACGAAGTAGTTAGTTCTAAAAGATAGACAGATGCTTGTGAGCTACCCGCTGAAAATTCTGTGGCATCAAGCTCCAAGGCAGACACAACCAGCGCATTATCTCTCGGCTAGACCGAAAAGTGCGGAGACGGAACACGCATCAAGGCTGGGCTTTGAATACTATAGGAGGAGCGGGAACATCGATGTTTTAAAGCCGCAGTGTGATGGCCAATTCGATTGTGACGCAGCGATTTCAACCTCTCAGACCACAGAAACTCTAGTGGATTGACCACTATTTTTCACTAGTAGCGCATCCTTATAGTTCGTCAGCGCATCCTTATAGTTCGTCATTCACCTGAGCGCCTAGATCCTCAATATTTGCAAAGAATAGTGAGGATTCGGAGTCTCGCCACTCGTTTGGAACCATTCCTTCCGGAAAACCAATACGGTGACGGAAAGAAGAACGGAGATGAAGGTCTGACGTGTAGGGTCTGTCATAAAACTTGATTGCCTCCCTTGAAAGATTGTGAATTTCGGGCTCTTCTTCTCCCTTCACTTGCATGCGGACAACATACTCATCTACACCCGACCCTTCTTTATAGCGTTCGAGTATGATGCAAGGGTGAATATCATTGATTGGTGCAAACGACCCATAGTCGATTTCAGGGACTGTGGCTCTATCGCATTGAAACATGACGTTGGCAGGATATGGCGAGTCTCTTTGCTCCCCCTGCGTCCGCAGCGGATTTTGTTTCATTAGCATGTTCATGGTTGCGGCGGACAAATAGGACAACCATCGGTCCTTTGGCGTCCATGTCAACAAGTGCTCTTTCCATGCCATTTCCCAGAGCGGCCCATAGTCCAAGAATAGTTCAGCACCTTCCGGGATGTCTTTAGTAGCAACGTAGTCCAATGCAAGACTCTGTTTGTAGTTCCACTGCATATCCTTTGGGGCCATCGAGAACCATGAATTGTTCTGTCCAGTTACTCCATGTGGTGCCCATTGTATCTTCACGTTGGCCATGGTCGAGTTGTGGTTAATGTAATTGACTCCTATGATGGGGACTGTTTTAGAAAGGTGTGTAAAGATGTGAATCATGAAGTCAGAATTGTCTTACCTGGGCCATATGGACACAAGAGCAGCGATGATTCGTGATGGCCAAAACAATAATTCAGCAAGAGCTGATAGCCACTCTTCGACCACGGTTTTCGCCGTGCTCCAGTAGAGTCGGAATAGACCAGGTCATACATTTCCAGCACATCTTCAAACATGTGAAGAAGAGGAGACCCACTGATGATAGTGCCCTCTGGAATGAATCGTTTTGTAAAAGCGCCATGACCAGCATTTGGCAGGGTAGAAACTCCAGGAACAATATGATCCACGCATCTCCCATGTTCTTGCAACCATTCGATTTCTCGCGTGGCATTTGGTTGGAATACATCGGCAATTTCGCCAAGAGCGGCTATAGCTGCCTCGCCATATTTTTCCGGCAGAGCATTCAGCAGCCGGGAAGGCCATATGTTGCGAATATCAATAATAAGGTTATACACACCACTTTGATCGCCAAACTTGTTGAAAAAGTCGTACAAGAGATATTGAGCATCCTGAATGTCATCAAGTGTTGGCATGTATGGCTGTTGCCTATCGTGAAACCTATGAGAGCGTTAGTCTGAGATCAATACAGGATAGGATATGAGATGCGACCATAGAACATACCAGTCTTGTCCGTAGTCTTTGAAAAGCTCCCCGCCGGTTGGTATCCTTCGTTGAGCATGTGGAATTCCTTTGTGATACGGAGAGAATGCACCGGCCCCCGGGTGTCTTCCACGATGTATGCCTGCGTTGTCAAATTCAGGTATGGCTTCGTTGTCAACGTTGACAAGGAAGGGGTTGAAATTGACTGCCGCATTGATCCCTGGCCAGAATGTATGAATACCACCAATTGCTTCATTGCCAAAGCCAAAGGTTCGTCCATCCCAAACGTAGTTGCTCGTCATGTCAGGATAGACATTCTCATCATCTTCTTCATCTTGTGCTTTGGCATTGTGCCAATCCAGTTCCAAAAGCATGATTGCCACATCACCATCGCCAACCTCGTCCCCAACCTCAAGGGGAAATCCAGTGAACAGTCCCAGACCAGATTTTGGAATGGTGGAATTGGCAATGTACATACCACACACCGGTTCCTGATTGGACGAATTATCATCATCTTGCCTATCACTTGGATCATGACCGTCATCTCTCGTATTGTGGGATCTCCACGCATCGGGAAAGATGTCATCTGGGATCCCAATCGAATGACGAAAGGAATTGGGCAAATGCATATCGGTACTTTCGGGCTTGTCAAACCACTTCATGCAGTTTCGCGGCACGTTCCTTCGTTCGTAATCCACGATTTCTCCGTCGTCATCCTCAATAATCTCAGTAATTAGCACATCATAGGTAATCTCTCCATGGATCTCCTCCTTTCGATCCAGCACTTGACAAGCATGTCCATATTCCGGGTTGTACTTGTCTGGATCGTTATCCCATTTGAGTGCATGATATTTGAAACCCCAGGCTGACGTAAGACCACCATGACACCGCAGCTGTAGACTCGGAGGGTTTGGTTCGATTTCCAATTCGGCCGGTGTTTTGAGAATGTCTTGTCGCTTGTGTTGATCATTCCAACTTGTTGCTGAAATGTAGTCCGCATAGTCGTGGGGTGGATTCCAGTTTTGGACATGCTGGGCATAGGCCTCCTCCCAATCTGGCCCATAATCCAAAAATAGCTCTTCTCCGGGTGAAATGTCGCGAGTGGCAATGTATTCGAATGCCAATACCGACTTTTTATCTTCTGGATTCCATTGTGAAACGGGATCATCCAGCTTGGCAGCTTTGTGATTCAGTACACCATCCTCTGGCCAGGCAATTCGTACGTTGGCAATGGATGAATTCTGATGATTGATGTAGTTGACACCACTCCCATATGGACAGAGCAATAGTTTAGTGTCGGAATGTCCAAAACAGTAATTCATGACCAATTGTGGTGGCATGGGGTGATGTTTGGTATAAGACTTCGTTTCCATATTAAAGTCGAATCGATGCATGTCCAGAAGTTTGGAATCTAACATGTGAATCAGTGGCGATATCGTAATCACTTGATCCTTGACCAAATGGCGTGTCGCAAAGGCTCCTCTACCAGCTTGTCGAATGGTGGATCGTTTGGCTTCTATATTATCAAGGCATGCTCCATGTTCTTGCAACCAATCGATCGATCGCGTAGAGCTCTCTTGAAACAAGGATCGCAATCCTTCCGTCAAAGCCTTGTGAACGTGTCCCAAATCGTTCGGCAAGGCCTGCAGGAACCGTGAATCCTCCCAAATATCCTCCAAGTCCAACACAAAGTCATAGACCAATTGTTGTGTTCTGGGCGATGGAATGTGTCGTTGAAAGCGTTGCAAAAAGCGTTGGGCCGATCGATACGAAGAAGGAACGGGAAAGTTGGGCGGAAACATTTCCAGTCGTCGTTCAAACCACTTGTCGCCATACGACGTAAAGAGTTCTCCGCCGACAGGTACACTGTGCAAAACTGTAGAGGATCCATTGAAATAGGGAGTAAAACTACCTACCGATGGGTCTTTGAATCGATGCAAGGTATCATCCAAGTTGTCGTATCGAGGCGTCGCTCGTTCCACGTTGAGCATGGCCGGATGGCAATTGACGGCCGCATTGAGTCCTGGCCAATATCCACTGACCAACTGAAACGGTCCAATTTCCGGTTTAAGACCTAACGGATCTCCCAACCAAACATAATCGGCGAACGGATTGATGAATTTAAAGTCTGTGCTGTCCATCATGTCGGCTTGTTGCCATTCCAAATCTTTGAGAGGAATGCAGGCGTCGCCATTTCCGACATGATCTCCCTTTTTGAGTGGTTTTGCTGTAAAGACACCCAATCCAGCTTGTTCAATGGTAGATTTGGCCAAGAATAAAGTGCAAGAAGAAGAACCATCATTATTTTCATTGGACGTAGTGCCTTCATCATGAGTCTCATCGGGGAGGACCGCCCCAATGACATTGCTCATCAATAATGTCAATGTTAATCCCAATAAAAGAGATGATTGTGGCAGCCTTTTGAAACACCATGATTGTATCATTTATTTTACGTTTTCCTCCTCTGTCCTAATCCAAACTTTTGGTGATGCAATACGTTCGGTATATTAGCCTTGTATAGTTTGTTATTGTTTCTGTCATTTCTTATATTGCCTTATTTTCAACGTCGCAAAACGCACAAATTGAAAATCAAGGATCATTCTTGGGACAGCGGACAGGCAGCATTTTCAAAATTACCGAAAATACTGGTTTCTTTCATGGTGGCCGAAAACGGTTCTAAAAAGTTAGACACGAGTCAAACGCCAACGAAAAGGCTTCCGCGCGACAGAAACATGTTGTGTGATGGCTGGATACCACAAATGACCGCAAATCAACACAATAATAAAACACACAGTAACAGCCCACGTACAAGAAACAGCCAGTGGAATAAGTTCACATTGAGCTACATGTACCACCTTTCACCACTGTCCACATCCATCCAAAATCGATACCACAATACTCTTCGACTATATCCTTGGAGAGATGGCTACGAATTCACCAGGAAACTACTTCAACAAGAATCATATCATGATTCTGGTGGTGATCACCATTCCACCATCCAAGCCATTCTCGTTTCCTTTTCCGAGCACGGGTTTCAAGAATACCTGCAAGATGCAGATGCTATCACATTGTTTGAAGAGATTGGAAGCAATTCGCAAGTAGAGTCGGTCACAATTGAATTGGACGTCTTTTCGGAATTGCCCACATCTGTGGCCATTCCTCCCATCCTCGCTGTAACTTCCCTACTGACGGCTCACAACAATAGGATACGGCATTTATGCCTGCGCAAGTTGCAATTGTCAAGTCACAAAGAGGATGATGATTTGGATGTGAATGGCATGGTGGAAGCCCTGCGTATTCATCCTACCTTGCAAAGTATTGAAGTCAAGCATTGTACCTTTTCCAAACAATGTCACTTGCAACGGTTGCGCTCTACTTTGACTGGACGAAAAGGCATCAAACATTGTGATTTATTCGACAACCGAGTCTCTTTTACAAAAAAGGAAGAAGGAGAAGGAAAGATTGACTACAAACAAGAATACGAACCATGCAGTTGCAGTCAATCTTGGAGATCTTCTTGTGTACCATTCAAAAACCACCAATTTCTGTGGGCGAGGATGCTATGTCTCTTTTGCTTCAGTTCCGTCTCTGTGCTCCTTATGGCGCGTCTATTCTTGTCGCAAGAAGAACCAATACTATGGAACCACCTGATGCCTTTTGCATCATCCACGACGCCCTTGTCTTCCTCATCATCGAATCGAAAGTTACTGCAACCAGAACAAGAGATGCCTGACATAAATTCGTATCCACTATTGTCCATCATGCCTTGGCAAATCCTTCCGAAGGACAAAAAATCAAAACGCAGAAAAACGAAATTGCAGAAAAGCAGCAATACGTGTAAACCATATGAGTTCTCTTGAGGGAATAGCTTGGCAATTCACACATGCAGTCCTGTTGTTCATCTTTTTGGAATGGAATGGATTTACTCTAGACCCACTTGCGGCGATATGAAGGATACATCGGGATCTACGAGTTTTTCAGTCTTTCTTGTGTTTGTCTAATATGCTTTCTAATCTAGCATTTCATCCATACTACTCCTATGTACCATTCCTTCCTTCCATAAGCTTCCCAACGATGGAAGCTCAATCCTTTTTTTGCAAAGGATCTGCAAAGTTGTCTTGGTTATCTCACAGCGCCAATTCTTTGGCATTTGCGTTGCAGATCAACAATACTTGGGTGACTTTCTCCAAGCTTTTGGCGCAGCATCACAATAGCTAGTTGGAATGAAGCAACTGCTTGGTTTTGTTCCCCTTGATTCTCAAAATCATCTCCAATTTTCTTCCATAGACGCCGATACGAATCCCACCATGCGGCAAGAGATGCTTTGGAAATATGAATATGGCGTCTTTGATCGACCAATCAAGAAGAAAAAAATTCTGCTTTTGAAACAAGTGAAACTCCTGCACAAAAATGTCCAGTGATGGATGAAGCAGCACGAATGTTTGAAGCAAGGCCTTCCGAGATGTCAATTCATGGTAATTGCAAACATATATAGTATCCCTTGCACGTATGCGGAGAATCAAGCTCTTGCAACCTTTTGTTTCGACGAAAGGAGGGGATTGATTCCGATGAAATGAACAGGGATATGCAAAAGTGCTCGGTTACCGCAGCCGTATATTGAATGGCATTGGAGATTCCAACGGTATCAAAACAAAACCGCATTCTTCGACATAATCTCGACCGCCTTGTTCAAAAGATCCATAGCGGAGTCTTGCTCGCCTCTCTGCGCCAAGTCTTTGGCCATGGAATTGTAGAGCATGGCAACTCTCCAATGATTTTTTCCAAGGGTATTGTGCAAAATAGCAAGAGCTTGTTGGAATTGTTCCCTTGCTTCGTCATGTTTCTCTTGATGCTGAAGAACGTCTCCAATCTTTTGCAATGTTAGACCAGTGTTGGTGTGGCTGGGCCCAGAGGCCTTCAAATCAATTGCAAGTGTCTTTTCATATTGTTCCATTGCGTCCTCGTATTTTCCTTGATATTCCAGAACGTTACCAATGCAGTAGTACGTTACTGCCGTCTCGGAATGGTCCGGTCCAAGTGCCTTCAATTGGATCTCAAGCGCCCTTTGGTATTGTTCCATTGCGGCATCGTACTTGCCTTGAGCTACCAAGACGGATCCAATATTATGATATGTTGCTGCAGTTGAGGAGTGTTCCGGTCCAAGTGTCTTCAATTTTATCTCAAGCGCCCTTTGGTATTGTTCCATTGCGGCTTCGTACTTGCCTTGAGCTTTCAAGACAGATCCAATATTATGATATGTTGCTGCAGTTGAGGAGTGCTGCGTTCCAAGTGTCTTCAATTTTATCTCAAGCGCCCTTTGGTATTGTTCCATTGCGGCATCATACTTGCCTTGAGCTTCCAAGACACCTCCAATATTATGATATGTTGTTGCAGTTGAGGAGTGCTGCGTTCCAAGTGTCTTCAATTGGATCTCAAGCGCCCTTTGGTATTGTTCCATTGCGGCATCATACTTGCCTTGATGTTTTAAGACACATCCAATATTATGATATGTTGTTGCCATTTGCTGATGATCATCAGATTGAAAGACTTTCTTCTCAATTTCCAGCCTGTGTTGAAAAAGTTCCATGGCTTCGTCAAAGCTTCCTTCTTCATGAAGAAGGTGCATTGCAATATCGTTGTATTTTAAAGCCACATCTTGGTTCATCAAACCCTTTTCTTGCAATTCTAGATCGAGTTCATTCCAAAGACGGCTTCGTTCTTGATCAAATTTGTTATTTGCAATCTTGTTATGGATCTTAGCCACCTCTGGGTCCATCAAATTCTTGTCTTTCAATAATTGTTTGAGCTCATGGTGGAGAATTTTTTGCTCTTGATCAAATTTCGATGGTTCTTCACTCCGGTGTTGTAGTCGACGATGACGAGCCCGAGAAAAGAAACGGGAAGGATTGCGGGCCAAGTAGAAGAAATGCTTGATTCTGCCTCCTCGTTGGCGCGGTCCAAGCTTGTGATCTGGTCCTACGAGGCTTTCACTTGCTTGAGAAACGAGTTCGGGTTTTTGTTTCTGTGTTGAAAGCCCACCAACAGTACTTGGTGCTTCATTATCGATTGGCTCAAGAATGCTGGGAGCTTCCCCCCTCATATTCGCAAAGGGATCTTGGTCGCCAGGTTGACCGGACGAATATTCCTCATCATGTGTGACTTCACTTACATCACAATCTTTATGGTGATTCAGTTTCAGTTTGTTCGGTCGATAGTAGGCCATAATGTGTTCGCCATCAGATGTGATTGTAGTGTCTTCATCATCTTTGTTATCATGATTCACCTCGACAACTGGTCCATTCATTGTGTCGTTTTCTTTCAGCTAGCGCGTCTCCTTTTGATTCTCTTTCGTTTGAAAGAATGAAAACATAATTTATGAGCAGACCATACCGGTATGAGGGTAAGCAATGAGAAATTTGGAAATATATTTCCTTGAGACGCGTTACAAGATTTCTCGATCGCACCACACAACAGTGGGTCATACGTCATACGTAGCTTTGAACGTACGTTTCTTACTGTATGACTTTTTGAGGATTCTGGTCATTTTTCCTGGTTGGATATACGTGTACCGGTACGTACGAATAAAAAATGTGGAAATATATTTCTTGGAAAATCCAAGAATAAAGTACATTACTAAGAAGTGATGTGTTCGGTCGATGGACGTACGTGTACCGATAGCTTGGAGAGAAGAAGGAAGAAGTTCAAAGTGAAATAAGTGTGTCCCGCGCTCTCTCTCTGCTATATTCGCACGATCTTCTGCGTTTTGTCGTCGCTACATATTGACAACTTCAACCACGGGAAATTGCAACAAGATGTCAGAGAAACCAACAGTTCTAATCATCGGTGCCGGATTTGGAGGTCTCGGCTGTGCCCGTCAATTCGTCAAGAATGGAGCGGCCAAGGATTTCAATGTCATCTTGGTCGAAAAAGGTGAACATTTCTCCATTGGAGGAATGTGGCAATTTGTTTGGAACTCTCGACTGACAATGGAAGAAACCATGTTTCCCTTGTCCAAGGCTATTTTACCTGGTATCAAGGTCCGCACCAAAACCACCGTGTCCAAGTGGTCACCCCAAGACAAGAAGGTTGTATTGACAAACGGAAGCACCATCAGCTACGACCACATTGTCTTGTCGCCTGGTGTGGTTCCGGATCCCAAAGACGTACCAGGAATTGAAAACTTTGTAAATATTTGTTCCATTGATCACGTGGCCAAGCAGAAGCAAGACCTGGAGGAATTGGTGGCCAAAGCCAAAACTGAAAAGGTTACCTTTTGCTTGGCCATTAGTGTCAACCCGTACAAATGTCCACCAGCTCCCTATGAATTGGCCCTGTTGGTGGATGAGTATGTTCGAAAGGCTGGTGTACGTGACAATGTGCGTGTAGGTGCGTGACATCCTTGGTGTGTGTGTGTGTGAGTGTTGCTTGTTACTGAAGAGAATAGTGTATATAGACTGACTTCATCTCGTTGTCCGTATTGATTCACAAAATGAAATTGCACAGTCCTTACTTGTCCCGTCGAATACAGCATGCCCCCCAATACCAAATCGGTTGTACTTGGTGCATTGAAGGAACAAAATGTCGAATTCCTCAACAAAAAAGAGCTGGAAAAGGTAGACAGTAACTTGCTCCACTTTAAGGATGGGAGTGATCCACTTGCCTTTGACGTTTTGTGGGGTGTCTGGCCCATTCGGGCGCCTGATTTTATCCAAGAGTCTGGTTTGAAAATTAATCCAAAGGGAACCATTACGGTGGACGACAAGGTGAGCAATACGATTGGTACTGGCGCTCCTGGTGCCCACATTATTGGCGACGCTTGTCGAGTCCCCTTTGGACAAGCCGGAATTCCAAAAGCTGGTGAATTTGCCTGGAAGATGGGAATCTCTGTTGCGGATGATATTGCGGGCAAGCGCCAACCAGCGGATCGGTCAGGACAGTGTGCGGCGGAAGCTGGATTTGGAAAGGGAATTGTCTTGTCTCCCAACTTTTCGGATGTCTGCAACGATCCAGAGAATGGAAAACCAAAGGTGGGGATCGAGTCAGTGGAGGATGGTACGGATCGAAAAGTGGCATGGTGCAATGGATATTTGAAAGACATATTTGGAGAAAATGTCAAGCCAGTAGTATTGAGGGACTAGGTATAATTTGGAATAGTAATAAATGGTTTAGTTTTGCAAGTGTCAACTAGTTACACTATTCACCATTTCCAATTTTTTTAGTACAAACAAAAAATTACACACATTAGCCAGTCCCACTGAAAGGAAACGGCCATCTATCATAGCGGCGAAGAAAACCGTAACAGAAAGAGATTGTGGATTCTAGATGGTAATACGTGGAACTCGAATAGTATGGATCCATCTGAATCTTTCCATACCAATGAATCTTCCATCCAAATCTGAAATCTATCCCAAAAAGGTAAGCGTCCGTTCGTCATCGTCGGGTGGGAGAATCTCCGAATCCAGCGTTTCAAATTCATCGTCCACTTTGCCTGGCAGTATGCCTCTGCTCAAAAAGTAATCCACCAATTGATGTGGAATTTCATCCAATACTGCCTGCGTCAATGCATTGTAGTTCTGATAGTCATTGAACTGCACAAACTTGGTAATATCCCGCGATTCTCCTCCATTGTGATGAAAATTGTCCAAAAAGTCCATTCCTTCAAAATTGGTCTTGCCAATTCCTACAATGACCACCGACAGGGGTTCGTTGCTCGCTGCGATCAGTCGTTGTTTGGTCGCTTCAACATCCTCCACATTACCAGCCGTCAAAATCAAGAGAATGGTGTACGATAGTTGGCCCACTTCACTAGCTTCCTCCTATTGCCATTGATAATGACACAAAAGCAAAACGAGCCATGAGTGAATTATTGCAAACCAACTGCATCTATTCACGCCAAAAAAAAGAAAACATACCTGTTCGTGCTGCGCATAGGCTGCCGCCGTTTCAATCACTTCTGTGAATCGCGTCGGATAACTCATGGTCAATGGGGTTCGGAATACCCCTCGGTAGGCATCCATGATACCCTGGACACCATCCACTTCAACTTCCGCCCCGCATTGGAAGCAGTGTCGTACCACATTGTTGTATTTCGCGCCAAATCCCCATACTGGAAACTGTTGGTCCGTATCGAACTTGGCTAGAATGGATCCGACGGCAAAGATGGCCTTTTCGTAGTCGTTCCATTCGTCGGATTCGGGTGGGTGAAAAAAGTGTGGGGTCCCATGTTTTCGTGGGTCTCCATTGGATGACGTAAAGTCAATTGCCACCGCTAGACTGATTTGGCATCCACCCGTCAGATAATCAATAAACTCTGGTTGTTCCTGCAGGGGCAAGGGTGGCGACGGTCCTCCATTTAGTTGCTCTGCCGATGTTCCTCCTCCTCCTCCTCCATTCTCTTCATGTTCATCATTCGTATTTTCAATAGCGTTTCCATCCACATCCACCACTCCTACTAATGACGCTTTCAATGCTTCACAGTGTCCAGTATGTTTGTCTTGCTTTCGCAAATCAAAGGTGACAATTTCTCCATCCATATTTTGCGATTTCACTAGCAAATTGACAGTGGTTTCAAATTCTCCAATGAATTTGTGGTTCCCCCGCCTCCGATGATCCCAGACGGATATTTTCATGGCCCGGTCCAAATCTCCATTGCATATCGTTTCAATATCTAACAAGGCTTCCTGCCAAATTGGATGCAAATCACTCCGTACCACATTGGACTGATATACTTTGACCCTAATATGAAGTAAAAAGAAGGAGGAGAGATGAGAGATGGATGGATGGATGGATGTAGAACGACGCATGGTGTACGGTGGCGCATCACCATACACAACCTACACAATACAAACAATACAAAGAATAGACAATACGTACCATGTGGCCCCAGATGGTCGATCCACTTTGCGAGACAGTTCAAAAAATGGGCTGCTGGTACTCCCAAACTTTTGCACATTTCTCAATTTGAAGGCCCGGAGTTTGAATTTGAATTGTCCTTTCTTTCCAGATTCTCGTGATCGCTCAATCTGCGCATAAATGGTTCCTCCGGACTGCAGTTTCTTGGATCCGACATTTCCTCTTGACGCCAATATGTCTCCCACTTCAAACAAAGCAGTGCCCATGACCCGGTGGGGGTATTTTCCATTCCGCAACAAATCCCGAGAGGAAGCATCGCAGACCACATTTAAATTCTTGACCGCGTCATTCAATCGCAATCGATTTTCGGATTGTCCCACCGTTTTGGAATCAAAATCAAAGACTCCCACTTCAATATAGCATGGGACTCCAAACTCATAATTCTCCAAAAAGACAATCGTGGCCCATTTGGGATTTAGATTGTTGAAGCAACTATTATCAAAATAATAATACAATATGAAAAAGAAAAGAGGAAGCATAATGGTTAGACAATAAACAAATAAACAAACAAACAATCGAAATTGCCACTTCTGTCCACTGTCCACTTTTATCCTTCTTACACTTCGGTTCGTCCAACAATTTCGGGTGTGTTGTCTTTGTGATCTCCTCGGACCGTAACGACCGCAAAGGGATCAGATTTATTATAGAATGCCGAAAGATTCTTAAGGCCTTTGGCATTCAGCGACAATTGGAGACGCGTCATGCTGCTGCTGATGCTGCTGCTTAGCGAGGCTTTGTGGTGCAGTGGATGGGCAATGCAGTTGGATTATCGAGATTGATTGACATGCATTCAGTGTGAACGACTATACCGGTATGGTAGTACTGTACCAATATTCAAAACTGTTTCACTTTGATGGGGTCTGCTGTTCGCACCGAGGCGGTTGCGCCGGCATGGTGGACCATAGATAGAAAAACACACGAGGTATTCTTTTTTGGAAATTTTGAAAATGGAAATACTTAGTGAAAATCGCTATGAATACCCATTATGTCCGACTGGCGTTTTGGTCGTACTGGAGGTTATTGGACACAATCCATTCCAGCAAGGCACAAAGGTTTTGGTGTCTGTTGATAAACAGAGTTGCGCAGGTTCCAAGGAGAGCATACTGCTGCTGCTTTCATCATGATTACAACCAAAAGCGTCTCGAACTAGATCACGCACTTGTTCCTGAATCTCCTCTGGCATGGGTCCACCTGACTTTCGAGGATAGGCAATCGTAATGTGCCAAGCTCGATCCTTGGGTTCCATCAACGAACCAGTGAGCAGTCGCATGGCAGTCCGAGCTGCCTTTTTTCCTAATTGGTCATGGGTGGATAATAGTGCTTGAAGAGATTCTTTCAATTTGTCACGGCAGACTCCCATTTTTCGCAATTCTTGTCGAATCGTACGTGCCTCCTCTTCCTCGTCACTGCCATTTCCTTCGAGGTAGACGGTCACGCCACCAGATTCCTTGCAGACCACCTCGCCCACGGTCAAGTGGACGGGCGCGTATTGCTTCAAAGCCAAATAGTCGGCCATTTGTTTCCAACAAGGCTCTTGCAGACATTCGGCAAACAAATTACTATTTTGCGGCTGCTTTTGGGGCAACGAATTCAAGTCAATGTGGAGGGGTCCGCAAAGCAAAGTGGCATGGTAGGATGGCAGAGGACTCAAATAGACTCCCACGGTTTGTTGCAACCGCAGTGGAAGATTGGCCAGCTTGCTGCTGTTTGTATTTGTTGCTGCTGCTACAAAGTGCACTACTGTCAAATTGGGAAATTCCAAATAGTGGCCATGGATATCGACCTTGTCGGTTTGCTTATAGGAAATCTTCTTGTCGTTACCAACACCGTGCCTCGCCAGATGGCGGACGGTCATTTTGGACCACAGTTCGGTATCGACACAAGACGTCATGGTTGATGTAGTGGAGGATGATGATGGTTCTGTCATTTGAAAAGTTTTGTGCGAGATGTTGAAAGGATGGGGTCGAGGCAACCTCGTCCAAACCTGCGATAGCCGCATGACTGAATTGGAATAAAAATGATTTTGAACCCATGTCCGAAATTTTCCAAATGACGAGTGTACGATTGCATTCACTTTTTAGAATCACAGGTTTGGCGGTACGTTGTCGCAAGCGTAGTATTCGCTGGGAGGAATGGAGCAGTGTCGCATTACTCTAGCAAATCAAGAAGCGAGTCAGTCCTCTTCTACTGCTCTAGTAGACGAAAACGACAAAGGCATATTGAACGTCGTTCCAATAACTATTGTCTCCGGAGTTCTGCAACGCGAGAAGTTGCTGGAAAGATACACATTAGAATGATTGATGGTATTCTAGCAATATACATTTGTAACAGAGATAACATGCTGGTAATCATCCACCATAAAATGAACCGCAATATATAAAAAAGTTTGTTTTCAAAACCTCCGGTCGAGGAACTAAGCTAGTCTCCAAAAAATCCAGCATTTTCAATAATATACACGCGGTATCGGAAGAGCAAAGCGTTCTATCACTATCGCACTATACCCACCTGTTGCAGAATACCAACACGCAATGGGTAATACAGCAACATCCGAAGCTAATGACGAGGACGACTTTGCCGAGTTTGA